TGCTCATGTTCTCCTTCCTTCTGCTCCTCATTTGGACCTTAGGAGCTCGGTCCAGTGCTCCAATGTGGGTCTCTGTCTCTATCTCCATCCATCGCCAGATGAAGTTTCTACAGTGATACGCAAGATATTCATCAGTATGGCTATAGGATAGGGCCATTTCAGGCTCCCTCTCCTCAGCTGCCCAAGGATCTATCTGGGGACATCTCCATGGACACCTGAGAACACCTCTAGAGTCAAGTCTCTCACCGACCCTAAAATGGCTCCCTTAATTACGATATATACTTCCCTACTCCCATATCCACCCTGCCTCCATCCCAACCATCCCATTCCCCCAAGCTCTCCCCATCCTCCCCTTCTCACTTTTTTCTCCCCATTTCCCCTTACCCCCACCCCATCTTCACCCCCAAGTTTCCAATTTTTGCCTGGCAATCTTGTCTCCTTCCAATATCAGGAGGATAACTTTATGTTTTTCTTTGGGATCACCTTCTTATTTAGCTTCTCTAGGATCTCATATTATAGGCTCTGTGTCCTTTATTTATGGCTAGAATCTACTTATGAGTGAGTACATATCATATTCATCTTTTTGGGTCTGGGTTACCTCACTCAGTATAGTGTTTTCTGTTTCTATCCATTTGCATGCAAAATTCAAGATGTCATTGTTTTTTTTTTTTTTTTTTTTTTTACCGCTGAGTAGTACTATAATGTGTACATATTCCACACTTTCTTTATCCATTCTTCCGTTGAGGGGCATCTAGGTTGTTTCCAGCTTCTGGTTATTACAAATAATACTGCTATGAACATAGTTGAACAAATGCTTTTGTAGTATGATAAAGCATCTCTTGGGTATATTCCCAAGAGTGGTATTGCTGGATCCTGGGGTAGGTTGATCCCAAATTTCCTGAGAAACCGCCACACTGATTTCCAAAGTGGTTGCACAAGTTTGCATTCCCACCAGCAATGGATGAGTGGTCCTCTTACTCCACATCCTCTCCAGCAAAGGCTATCATTGATGTTTTTTGATTCTAGCCATTCTGACAGGTGTAAGATGATATCTCAAAGTTGTTTTGATTTGCATTTCCCTGATCGCTAAGGAGGTTGAGCATGACCTTAAGTGTCTTTTGGCCATTCGAACTTAAGAAAGCACTCTTACCACCAAGCTATATCCCAGCCCCTCTTTTTAACTATTTTATTTATTTATTTATTTATTTATTTATTTATTTATTTACTTTTACTTTTTATTTAGAGACAGGGTCTCAGGAAGTTGCCCAGGCTGGCCTTGAACTTGGAAACTTCCTGCTTTAGCCTTCCAAGTAGCCAGGATTATAAGTTGGTGCCACTGGGCCTGGTTTATTGTGTGCTGCTGCTTCTTGAAAAATGAACCTCTTTCTCTTTCTCTCTTTATAAACATCCAGAATATAACCTTTATCTTTTTATAACTCCACTTAAGTGGAGCAAGTATAAATGAATGATACATTTATCAATTACCAAAATTCAGTGAGTTTTAGGTTTAAAAAGACTTTGTCTGGAGACATGGCTCAGCTGTTAAAGGCTAGGCTCACAACCAAAAATAATCATAAAGACTTTAATGGAAAAAAAACATAAATTATTAGATTGATTTACTGATGAAAAGTTTATAATCAGTATAAATACTGTATATAAAGTTTATAATCTGAAATACTTTAATGAAAAAAATCACAAAGTATTAGATTTATTTGCTGATGAAAATGTAAGTGCCTTGGCCATAATTGCATACAGCATAAATTGCTTAAAAGGCAGAAGCTAAATCTAGATCTCCATAATTCTCTTCCAGTGTTCCTTCTATCATCGCTCATTTAATGTGGACATTCCAAAGTCATTTTATCTATTAGCACAAGGAAACTTCCCCAGCTTGATAATAGTGCACAGCACCCTCTTTTTGCTTGAATTTGATTAGGGAAGAAACACCAGCTGTATTTCCTTAGCAACTTTGTACTCAGCTCCAGTATAGCTTGTTGATCTTCTTAAGGATTTTGTGTATAGACGTACACACTGTTGACCCTAAGTACTATTAGTTTTCTGGATTCGCCAGTTTTCATATTCTAGAAAAAAAAAATCAGGGTCAGAGATGAGTAAGGGAAAATAAATTCTGTCTTCCACAGTACCTCACAAGCAGCCCTTTCAAAATCCTCCAAAGAAAAGCCGAAAGCACTCTACTCAAGATTGAGTGGACAATTGTTGGCCATCTCTTCCCTACTTCCCACATCTGAAATTCGGGAGAGCTAGGCATATATGCTCAAAGATCTCCTCACAGAGCTAGCTTGAGCATTTACGCTAGGAAGTTCTCATTGTTCACAGTTCCGCAAAGTTGAATGTATATTGGACAGAAGAGCTTTATCAGTAAGCAAATGGTAGCATGTTGAGCAGTCTCAGTCCCAAAACGTTAAATGTGAAATGTATTCAGATTTACAACTCATTGATGCTTGACTGGTGCTGTAAGTGGGAAATGGCATACTTAAACTCATATGATATGTTGCAGTCAAACATAAGCACACTGAAAACATGGTATAAAGTTGCATTCAGGATACAGGTATATAAAACATAAATGAATTCTGTATTTGCATTTGAGTCCAAATCCTAAGAAATCTTATTACACACACACCACGACACAGACACAGACATACACCACACACACACACACACCACGACACAGACACAGACATACACCACACATACACACATCAAAAATACCTAAAATTTGAAATACTTCTTGGTCATAAGCATTCCAGGTCAGGGATAGTCCACTTGTATCAACTGCTGTTGAGAGAAATAAGACACTCTTAAGAAAATTGGTGAACTGGTCTGTGAGAAGAAAGCCCTCCATATAGTGATACAGAATGGTAGCCTGAGGAGTCATCTTACTTGAGGATCTGGGAAATCCTCTTGAGGAATGAAATTCTACTAAAAACCCTCAAAGAACCAGCACTGTCAAGAACCAGGGTAGAAGACTGAACATTCTGGGCCCAGAGAGCAGATGAAATGGCCGCATGCTAACAAAAGTTAGGACTGTTTGGGCAACTAAAAGACTAAGGCGAGGAGAACATGAAATTGGAGAGCCTGATTAAGTTTCTCGTGGAGGCTAGAGGCTGTCCCCAGGTCTCAGTGGCTGGGGCTACTGTAGTACTTAACAGTAATGAGGATCACGGACTTAGCCAACAGCTAGCCTTTGCTGCTTCCCAATTCGGCAAGTTCCCAATTGTGTCTCTCCTACCCTTCCTGTTGTGTGTGATTCACTATCCAATTCTTCAGTCAGGATACTGCTCTGCCACTGTTGGCTTTCTCTAGTGCCACTGCTTCTTTCTGCCCAGGCGGCATCCGTGTCCCTTACTAACCTGCATTCCAGCAAGCTCCAACAGTTTCCTCACTTACATAACCAGGTCACAACGAAGTATTGGCTTCACGTTTCCTGATTGTCACAGGTTCACCAGTTCGACAAAGCCCTGTTTCTATTAGCCTCTTCTTAAAACACATTTTGGAAAAGGCCTGGGTAAGGAGCTGAACAGAAAATCAGCTGATAATCACTCTTCTTTCTGCACTTAGAATCTTTCCCTGTCTCCATCACAGCCCTCAGCCAGCTTTTCCCCTCTCTGCTGCCTTGTGTACACAGTGTGTCTTCCTGAAAGCCATAGGTTTTCTTGTCCCTGTCCTGAAATTTCAGTTCCTTTCTCTTCAGACTTAAAGACATGCCTGAAATTGAGGTCCCCACAGCATAATCTCACAAATTTGGCTGCTGGCTCCTAACCAAAGCCTTGAGGCCAAATGCGGTTTTTTGAATTCATAATTTGGAAGTTTTAGAATGGAAATATGGCATGCTACATAACACCCTGTAATCAAGGCATATTTCTATAGCCTAGACTATGAATATTCATATTAAATGGATTAAACAAATACCATAAAGAGTCTCATATCAATTCCGTTTTACTTTTGAATGAATTTGTCACAAACATAGAAGAGGCTCAGTTTTCCATGTAGGGATTTGGGGATTATGAACCTGTATTCTTGAACATACATATTGAAAACACAATACTTAGAATATCCCAGTCACTTCTGAAGCTATCATAAGCATATATTTAAAGTGAAATATTAGCTCCCTGATTGCCTACCCATTAATCCATTACCACTAATGTGACTTCTGTCCTTCCTCCATGTCTGTGAAGGTTATCACAAGTGAAGTTGATGGTATGGAAGGGCAGATACTGGTACAGCATCAGTTCTCCATCCCAGAACAGCTACACCATCTGGGATGGACAGATGGACATGCCATGGGAAGACAGCAGGAACCCACAACAGCTGCTGTTGAGAGAAATAAGACACTCTTAAGAATACCCTGTGATTTGGCCATGAACTGTGTCGTGAATGCCTGATGTACAACCTGTGCTCACTGAGGTGATTCACAAGCAGCCTAAAGAATAAAATACTCTTATAAGCTAAAACTTGAAGCCAGCCTTAAGATATCAACTGCTACATGTACTGGACACAGAGTCTCCTCTGTACACTGATAAGGTTGACTCTCATAACCATTTTAAACATTTTCTTCCCCAATACAGAATGTTTGGCCTAAAATAATGATAAATTTGTGTGCCATGTCTATAAATCTCTGATTTGGTACAACAAAAAGAAAATGCGAGCAAAAAAAAAAAATGGGTTTGAGCTGTTCAAGGAAGCCTTTTCTTTGTTGTTTTGGGCTTTTTTTGGTACCACATAAACCAGGCTGGCCTGGAACTTACCATCCTCCAACCTCAGCCTCCTAAGTGCTGGGAATACATGTGTGCACCAAAAGATCCAACTCAGTCTTTTCTTTAAGTTTCTTATTTTCCTTGTCTCGCCAAGAAAATGTGTTAATATTCTATCTGTGGACTTCTTTTTTTTTTAATCTGTGGACTTTTTATATAGAAGATGTCAGTGCTCTTAAAATTCTTTGAATGGTAGCTTTGAAAGCTTTAATGTATTTGCCTGCATTCCAGAAAATGAAGAAGTCAAGGAAACGACTTTACGAGAGCTTAAAATGCTTCGCACTCTCAAGCAGGAAAACATCGTGGAGCTGAAGGAAGCCTTTCGCCGGAGAGGGAAGCTGTACCTGGTGTTTGAATATGTTGAGAAAGTAAGTCATGAGTTACCAATGTGCAGATTCACTTTGTCTTTTGTTTTTGACACTACTGAAGAAAGTAGGATAAATTAGTATGACCTATCTGTGTATTGATAATCTTAGGGTCTTAAAAATGAAACTATCTCTCACAGCCACTAGATGTTCTAAAGTAGATTTAGCGATTTTGTACAATGTAGAAGCATTCAGATGATCTTAAGTTTAAACAGCATAGTGGTGCAGCTTCTGAAGTTAGAATCTGTGTACAAGCGGTTTTCAGCTTAATTTTTTTTTCAATTTAACATGAACAAAAAGCTCTGCAGGTGAAATAAGTGAGTGGACAGTTTGAAAAAGGATGGTAGAGGCACACGTCACATCAGGTCCATGCAAGCAGGAGCTGGATCCTGCGGTCAGACCTAGGATAATGGATGAGCAAAGCAGACGCAGTGTTTTGTGCACTGCCAGTAGCCTGGCTTTCTTGAGGGACTTGTAAAGGAAGGCCTAAGCTGCTCTAAAGATCACTAGTAATACTTTGTAAAGAAGGTTAACTCATGACTGAATGGTTTACTATTGTGACCTAAGGGCAAAAGGTTAGCTGTCTCCAAGTTTCTTAGAGAGCAACTGAACGAGGAGTTGGTTGGTTTCAACTGATTACAGTAGGAGAAACTGGAAACAGAGGAGCCTGTTAAAGGTTTGGCTGCTGTGTGGGAAGGCGGCTGATGAGCAGTTCATGGGCTGTTTCCTAACACTGGAGAGGCTGCCGTTTGCTAGTAGGTCAATTCCCTGGTGTTCATTGTGACATAAGTGACAAGAAAGCAATGTTTTCAGGAAGACCTGACCTGTTAATGTGACTTTGAGTTCATTCAGCATTTACAACGTATTTTTTGAAATAAGCCATAGAAACTAATTCTTATTAGCATCATTTAAAATATGCAAGACTATCATTTTATTTTAATATTTATTTTTATTGAAAAGTATTTTTCATATATGATCTGATCATGGTTTTTCCCTTCCCCAACTTCATCCAACTGCTCCCCACCTCCTGAACTACCCAACTCTATGCCCCTTCTTTTTTTTCTCTCTCTAGAAAAAAAAACAGGCAAATGACAACAACAGAAATAGAATTCAAAAAAAGAAGAAATGTGCACACATACACAAAAACAAGATCCATAAAAACATAAAATTGGAAGTCGTAATATCTAAACAAGTGACTAGCAAGATAAAGAATGGCCAAACAAAAAGCAATATGAGACAAAAAGTCTACAAAAATATCATTGAGTTTGTTTTGTGTTGGCCATCTACTGCTGGGCATGGGGCCTACCATTAACTGTGGTTAATATCCCCAGCGAAGGCTCTGTCATTTTAAATCAGTTATTATATGTTATTTTCCCCAAATCTTTTTCTGTGTTAGTTTGGTATTTCTTTATGTAAATAAAACTAAAGATTTTTTTGTTTTAAGAAAAATATTGCTGTCCTAGGATAACAGAAAAACAGATTGTTTATTTTCTAGTTATCACAAATACTTGTTCAGTCTTCACCTTTCACTGCCCAATAATGAAATTTGACACATCTGGTATTTCAGTCTCACTTTTTTTATTTGTGTTATGTTCATGGTGGTGATTTACAATAAATAACAATTTAGTATATCAAATAGAGATATCTCTTCTGCATATCTGTTTTCTCTCTGGGAGAAGCAATTTGACATGCTTGAGCTCGCTCTGCTCCCAAGAGACAGTGCTGTGACCAATATTACAATCTTCTGACACTGAGGCTTGGCCTTCTTTCCTGCCCCTGTGATTCTTGGATGGAAGTTAACCTTTACACCTGCCCACCAGCGGCAGGACCTGGCAATCTACAGTGAGTCTGGGGAGCATAGAGAAAGATGCTCAAACAGGATAGGGAGTCCTTAGCTCAGACCCACAATTACAATGCCCTAAACAAAATGGGAATCTCTTTGTTCCTCAGAAATATATACAACGGGAGATAGCGCAGGACTGAAGGGCAAGCTCCGCTCCCTGGTCTTTAGTGTCAGCTGTCACATCCTATCAGCTAGTATAGAGTTTCATGGGTCACACTTGCTGCAAGGCAGAAAGGAAATGTACTCAGCATTCAGAGTATCTGAGTCTGTTGTTGAAAATTGTATTCCCTACAGAGTAAGGAAAAATGGCTGTGGAGAGTGATAGTATCTGCTGCTTAGGAAGCGTGAGTAAAACACCAACTGAGAGATAACCATCTTTTCTGTACTCTTCAGCTCTCCTATGCCTCCTTGTTCTTGGCATCTCCTGTGTATTTGTTAGTTGGAAAAAAGGCAATTCGCATAGAGATTTTTTTTTAAGCTACAAGCATTCTTTCGACATTTTTAACTGAAACCATAATTATACATTGAATCCTCTACAGAGGTAGGTTGAGGTGTTCTGCATATTGATCTTCTGATTAAAGTTCTGACTGGTCTTTGTTGCATACAGCATACCCATCAATGCATCTTTAAATGGAAGCAAGGGCACAAGACTAAAGAGCAATCTCCATGCAGAGGCTGTCAGTATTTATGATTATCAGCTGCCAGCACCTGTTCCTTACCCGTGCTTCTGCGTGTCTGTCACCATTGACTAGACAGTACCGCATTTTGTGGCTCTCTTTTGTTAGGTATTTCCAAACTATTATAAACATGATTTTCATATGTGCAGCAGCTCTCTTTTTAAAGAAACATTATTTCAATGGTTGATAATGATATTTAATGATGTTAAGATTGTTGAGAGCCTTCACAACTTTTATGTGGGTTTTATCTAGTAGTGTTTCTCATATTAGACAGAACTGAGCATTGTAAAACTGTTTGGGGCTAGAGTAAGAGCTCACTGGTAGAGCGCTTAGCTAGCAATGCAAAAATAAAACAAAATCAACAACAAACTCAATAATGTTAACACAAGTGGCTTGCATTTCAGTTGTTCTTTAAGATAGAAAATGGTACAGCACAAAACGTGGCTAGTGCAGCCTGCACGTGCACTCAGCTCCCAGTGAGGACAGCCATGGTTCAGATGCATCTCAGCATGCAGTGAAGACAGCTGTGGTTCAGATGCATCTCAGCATCCAGTGAAGACAGCTGGGGTTCAGATGCATCTCAGCATGCAGTGAGGGCAGCTGTGGTTCAGATGCATCTCAGCATGCAGTGAGGGCAGCTGTGGTTCAGATGCATCTCAGCATCCAGTGAAGACAGCTGTGGTTCAGATGCATCTCAGCATCCAGTGAAGACAGCTGTGGTTCAGATGCATCTCAGCATCCAGTGAAGACAGCTGTGGTTCAGATGCATCTCAGCATCCAGTGAAGACAGCTGGGGTTCAGATGCATCTCAGCATGCAGTGAGGGCAGCTGTGGTTCAGATGCATCTCAGCATCCAATGAGAACAGCTGTGGTTCGATGCATTTCAGCGTGCAGTGAGGACAGCTGTGGTTCAGATGCATCTCAGCATGCGGTGAGGACAGCTGTGGTTCAGATGCATCTCAGCATCCAGTGAAGACAGCTGTGGTTCAGATGCATCTCAGCATCCAGTGAAGACAGCTGTGGTTCAGATGCATCTCAGCATCCAGTGAAGACAGCTGGGGTTCAGATGCATCTCAGCATGCAGTGAGGGCAGCTGTGGTTCAGATGCATCTCAGCATCCAATGAGAACAGCTGTGGTTCGATGCATTTCAGCGTGCAGTGAGGACAGCTGTGGTTCAGATGCATCTCAGCATCCAGTGAAGACAGCTGTGGTTCAGATGCATCTCAGCATCCAGTGAAGACAGCTGTGGTTCAGATGCATCTCAGCATGCAGTGAGGGCAGCTGTGGTTCAGATGCATCTCAGCATCCAGTGAAGACAGCTGTGGTTCAGATGCATCTCAGCATCCAGTGAAGACAGCTGTGGTTCAGATGCATCTCAGCATCCAGTGAAGACAGCTGTGGTTCAGATGCATCTCAGCATCCAGTGAAGACAGCTGGGGTTCAGATGCATCTCAGCATGCAGTGAGGGCAGCTGTGGTTCAGATGCATCTCAGCATCCAATGAGAACAGCTGTGGTTCGATGCATTTCAGCGTGCAGTGAGGACAGCTGTGGTTCAGATGCATCTCAGCATGCGGTGAGGACAGCTGTGGTTCAGATGCATCTCAGCATCCAGTGAAGACAGCTGTGGTTCAGATGCATCTCAGCATCCAGTGAAGACAGCTGTGGTTCAGATGCATCTCAGCATCCAGTGAAGACAGCTGGGGTTCAGATGCATCTCAGCATGCAGTGAGGGCAGCTGTGGTTCAGATGCATCTCAGCATCCAATGAGAACAGCTGTGGTTCGATGCATTTCAGCGTGCAGTGAGGACAGCTGTGGTTCAGATGCATCTCAGCATGCGGTGAGGACAGCTGTGGTTCAGATGCATCTCAGCATCCAGTGAAGACAGCTGTGGTTCAGATGCATCTCAGCATCCAGTGAAGACAGCTGTGGTTCAGATGCATCTCAGCATCCAGTGAAGACAGCTGGGGTTCAGATGCATCTCAGCATGCAGTGAGGGCAGCTGTGGTTCAGATGCATCTCAGCATCCAATGAGAACAGCTGTGGTTCGATGCATTTCAGCGTGCAGTGAGGACAGCTGTGGTTCAGATGCATCTCAGCATGCGGTGAGGACAGCTGTGGTTCAGATGCATCTCAGCATCCAGTGAAGACAGCTGTGGTTCAGATGCATCTCAGCATCCAGTGAAGACAGCTGTGGTTCAGATGCATCTCAGCATCCAGTGAAGACAGCTGGGGTTCAGATGCATCTCAGCATGCAGTGAGGGCAGCTGTGGTTCAGATGCATCTCAGCATCCAATGAGAACAGCTGTGGTTCGATGCATTTCAGCGTGCAGTGAGGACAGCTGTGGTTCAGATGCATCTCAGCATGCGGTGAGGACAGCTGTGGTTCAGATGCATCTCAGCATCCAGTGAAGACAGCTGTGGTTCAGATGCATCTCAGCATCCAGTGAAGACAGCTGTGGTTCAGATGCATCTCAGCATCCAGTGAAGACAGCTGGGGTTCAGATGCATCTCAGCATGCAGTGAGGGCAGCTGTGGTTCAGATGCATCTCAGCATCCAATGAGAACAGCTGTGGTTCGATGCATTTCAGCGTGCAGTGAGGACAGCTGTGGTTCAGATGCATCTCAGCATGCGGTGAGGACAGCTGTGGTTCAGATGCATCTCAGCATCCAGTGAAGACAGCTGTGGTTCAGATGCATCTCAGCATCCAGTGAAGACAGCTGTGGTTCAGATGCATCTCAGCATCCAGTGAAGACAGCTGGGGTTCAGATGCATCTCAGCATGCAGTGAGGGCAGCTGTGGTTCAGATGCATCTCAGCATCCAATGAGAACAGCTGTGGTTCGATGCATTTCAGCGTGCAGTGAGGACAGCTGTGGTTCAGATGCATCTCAGCATGCGGTGAGGACAGCTGTGGTTCAGATGCATCTCAGCATCCAGTGAAGACAGCTGTGGTTCAGATGCATCTCAGCATCCAGTGAAGACAGCTGTGGTTCAGATGCATCTCAGCATCCAGTGAAGACAGCTGGGGTTCAGATGCATCTCAGCATGCAGTGAGGGCAGCTGTGGTTCAGATGCATCTCAGCATCCAATGAGAACAGCTGTGGTTCGATGCATTTCAGCGTGCAGTGAGGACAGCTGTGGTTCAGATGCATCTCAGCATGCGGTGAGGACAGCTGTGGTTCAGATGCATCTCAGCATCCAGTGAAGACAGCTGTGGTTCAGATGCATCTCAGCATCCAGTGAAGACAGCTGTGGTTCAGATGCATCTCAGCATCCAGTGAAGACAGCTGGGGTTCAGATGCATCTCAGCATGCAGTGAGGGCAGCTGTGGTTCAGATGCATCTCAGCATCCAATGAGAACAGCTGTGGTTCGATGCATTTCAGCGTGCAGTGAGGACAGCTGTGGTTCAGATGCATCTCAGCATGCGGTGAGGACGGCCGCGGTTCAGATGGCATGTGTGCAGCAGAAGTGCTTTGTGTAGATTCTTCAGTTGACATGTCGAATGTTAAAAAGACATGTTTTAATTTCATTTATGTTGCTGCGGCAGCATACCCTGAAAAGAAAGCAACTTAGAGAAGAAGGGTTTATTTTAGCTTACAGGTCCATGTTATAGTCTGCCAGTGGAGGGAACTCACAACACCCAGAGCTTGACGCAACTAGTCATATCATATCCACAAACATGATCAAAGAGAAATGAATGCATGCATGCATTCTAATGCATAGCTAAGTTCTCAGCTAGCTTTTCTGTACTTTTTCTACACTTCAGAGCTCCAAACCAAGGAACAGTGCACACACTTTCAAGCTGGGTCTTTCTACATCACTGAAGGCAGTTATTGACAATCCCCCCACACCTGCTCATAGGTCAATCCCTCATTGACACCCCCTTTCCATTGTGCCAATTTGACAATCAAAACTTAATCGTTACAACATGTACAATAAAATTTCATAAAAGCAGTGCTTTTCTACTGCTTCATCAAGGACATCTTTAGCTAACTGCTTTTTTTTTGTTTAATAGTTTAATAGCATTAATTTAATTTAATAGAATGTCCAGGGTCAGTTGAATTGAAAATTCCATTGTTTTCATTCCTATTAGTGTTCTAGCAATTTATCCATTGTTGCTGTGTACCATCAGTGTACATGCCAATCGTGAAAAAGGCAAACAGCTGAGCACTGTCATGAAGCTGATGTGATTTCCTGAGCCTGTGAGCAGCATCTGAGCCTCTGTGTATCCCAGGTTTCCCTTTGTAAGCTGTTTCTCTATGTGGGTACCTTCAAACAATAGGCTAAGGTGTGCTGTGAACCCTCTTGGTTGTGTTTTGCAGAAGAAACTGAGAATCTTTGGCTAATGTGGTAATACAATGGAGGCTAGCTAAGTTTAGGCTTAGCATTTCTGGCGTTTTTGGAAACAGGGTCTTATTATGTAATGTCTTCTAAGTGCTGGGGTGACAGACATGCACTGCAATATCTGATTTACCAGAAAATTTTGCATGAACTTTGTGCAAAATAGTCTCTGACATCAGATTGACAGTTTTGAATTGTCTGGGCTTTATGTGCTTCTTTAACGATATTTTTGTCTTTAAATTTTTTATTTCATTTATGTGGGGAGGAACCATGCCAAAGTGCACATGTGCAGGCCAAAGGAAAATTTATTTTGTGGAGTTAGTTGTCACCTTCCATCTTTACGAGAGTTTCAGGATCAAATTTAGGTTGTCAGGTTTGCATCAGTTAAGCAGTGAGTGTCTTTATCTGCTGAGCAATCCCACTGGCCCTCAATGGTATTTTCTAGCCTGTTTCAATTTTTATACCAAATGTGTAAATCTAATCATTCTTCTCGTTCTTTCTCACCCTTCCCTCTTTCTTTCTCCCTCCCCACTCTTAGAATTGGAGGCAGCAGGAAGGATTTTTTAAAAAAATAATTTCTCTTAAAGGAGAACTTTTATTTAATGCACTATCCTGATCCACCACAAACTAAGTTGAATATTAACTACAAAATGAAAAATGCATGCTTTTTACATTGGATGAATCCTTATGTAAGGTGCTATAGATTATTTGTTACATAATTGATAGGTTTGCTTAATTTTGAAGCTAAATGACTCTGTATTTACTTTTAGAATATGCTTGAATTGCTGGAAGAAATGCCAAATGGAGTTCCACCTGAAAAAGTGAAAAGCTACATCTACCAACTAATTAAAGCTATTCACTGGTGCCACAAGAATGACATAGTCCATAGAGGTGAGTGTGGGACTCTTGACATGGAGACTACTAAATCAATTGGCTAGTTAAAGATGGACTGTTTTAAGACCATTTCTGTTTTGAAAGTAAACATATGAGAAGCCCTTTGCTCTATACCCACCAAAGGGCAGCGTACAGGTTTATTTTGGATATTGTGGTGCTATCTCTATTTGTATTACCAAGTCTGCTGTGACTGTAGCAATACTAATGAGTCGGCAGATGCAAAATTCGAAGCTTTTTCTGGGTGGAATCAAAGAGGCAGCTAGACAATTTCCATAGCCTTTGTGTCTTACAGGTAGACCAGGGCCTGTGAGCCAACTCAGATTATAAGTGGTTTTAAGTCACCGACCCGCCAGTACAGCTTTCTTTTCATTCCATCTTAGGCCAGGAATCTCTAGTACACATCTTTGCCTGCTGATTTCTGCTCCCTACTGGTGAAAAGTGCCCCTTGTCTATAGGTCTTGCATGGCCATGATTATACTTCTCTAAACTATATCACTTTTTCTTTAGCACGACAAAGTCAGTGGTTTCAGCAATAAGGGAAATTACTTGCTTCGTGTCATTTTGACTAATATTCGTTTTCTAATAATCTCACTTACACCCGGAAAGCTTATAGCAATGGACCCAGTTGGATCATAATAATGAAGCTAAAATGTTTATCAGAAAATGTTGGCATATCTACTTCTTTTCTTTGTATTATTGTTAATTATTATTATACTAAATTTATCTGTACAAATGGACAAGGATAATTACCTTTAAAATAGTCTTACTTTTAAGAATAACTGAAGATTTCCAACTTCTACCATTTGACTCTCGTACTAGTTACCCTATTATCAAGACTGTATACATCATGGATGTATAGGTCAACTGGCCATCTAGTGTCTTAGGTAATGGTTGAAAACCAGCCTGTGATAACTTTTGGATATTAATGAGGAGCTGAGTTAAGTGTATTTCCATTATAGGACTGTGATTTGATTAAGTGATAGGAAGTATGACTCTGAGCCGGGGCTGTAAATGCTAGAGTGCTCCACTAGCCTTTGGTTCGCTCTCCAGGATCGGAAACCACAATCCCATGACTGGGAAATCTTTCAATTCCACTCCCTCTATAATCACCTTATTTTCATCTCTTCCACGTAATATAGATGGTAATTCAGTTGTAGCTGGGCATGGTGGTATATACCTGTATTCTCAGTGTTTGGGAGGATGGGGAATTCAATGCCATCTTTGACTACATAGGCGTTGGAGGCCAGTCTGAGATACATGAGATCCTATGTCAACAAATAGGATTGTATGGTGCCTCTCAGTGGAATAGTTCAACTTCATTTTCTGACATTTCTGCTCCTCAACTCTTATCACATCTTTACATGATCTATTGGGGAAAACATGGCAGTCTTGACTGTTAGTTGTGAACCACATGAAAAAACAAAATAGGTATGAGAATATAGGAATTATGCAGAGAACCTTTTTACAGTTTTCCTCTAATAAACATTATACTGTTTAACTATTGGTGTATATGGTTTTTAAAATATCATGGAGATATAAACATTTTAGCTTCAATCTCCAAAAATTTGTATTGTTAGCATTTTATGAAGCAAAAGCAGTTCCTATAAGTATATTGGCCTAAGTTTAATCATTTTAAAAATCCTCACAGAATTCAGTAAGGTGTGTCCTCAACATGCTTTAGGCTCTGGGGTCAATCCTTAGCAGGGAAAGGGAGAGAGATAATTATGTTTTGAGTTTTTTTTCAGGATCTCCTTAGCAATTGTGGTCTGCGTGTCTCTTAAAAAGAAATCAAGCCTTTTTGTAGCAGCATAAAATGTCTTTTCTCTTCTTCACGCTGCACAGTTTTCTAGTCAAATCCTGCTTAGATGATTTTAAATAGACGCCATTACAGTACTGTGTCAATCAGCAAAAAATAGACCGTCTTTATTTACTGTTTTTTTAATCTTGGTATTCTAGATATAAAGCCAGAAAATCTCTTAATCAGCCACAATGATGTCCTGAAACTATGTGACTTCGGTAAGTTAAAAAGAAATTGAGCCCCAATATTGAGAGGATTAATTTAATGTGCTACATGGGTAGCGTTTGAAGGTATATTAAAAGTGATCTTATATTTTGATTTAAATTAGTAGAGGAACATTCTATTGTGTCATATGCTGAGAGTTGATGGCTGGTGTAGCTTTGCTTTCTCTTTGTTGTGTGGTATATTATCTGCAATTTTAACAAATTATGCAGTTATTTGTTTAATGGGAGTTAATTTGGAACAAATACTTGATTGTCATGTAGGAGTAATGTACCAAATGACGCAGTATCAAATGATGCCAGAATTAGAGTTTTCTGTAAACCATCAGTATAGATTCCTGGTTAGAGTAGAATAAAATGTTTTTGCATATTGATAGAAATTGTCCTACATTTAGTCATAACCACTAGATACATGCCCATATGTCTTCACACTTATGTATGATTTACATACAGTGGTTGTACCGGTAAGGTCAAAGCCATTTTGAGAACACATCTGTTTGTTCCTGTTAAATGTTTAATGAATGAAATGGGTAACTGGTGTACAATACTCTTATTTTTCAAATATACAGAAAGACTTCTAAAAATTATACTCCTAGTAAAATCTGTGTTGTTTTTCATGTGGATAATTCTATTTTAAATGCTGTTGAATATTTTAAATAATATAGAAAACTTAATAGTGTTTAGGTCATGGCTTGATAAAAATATCAGAAAGGAGCATTTACAAAAAGCAGCAGACAATTCAAATTTTTGAGTTTTCTTTACTACTCAACAGTTGATTTAAATACTTAAATTAATTTGTTCTGAAATAAGATTTCATGTATCTCAGGCTGACCTCAAACTCACTTTATAGCTAAGGATAGCCCTAAGTGTCTGATCCATCTGCCTCCACCTCTTGAGTGTTGGAATTATAATCATGTGCCACCACACCAAGTTTATGCAACGTTAGAGGTAGAACCCAGGGGTTCCTGCATGCTAGGCAGAGACTACCAACTGAACGTACTCTAAGCCCAGGGTCACATGCACTGATTTTAAGTCAAATGTTGCCATTTCAGCTTTTGAAATTTTCCTTTTACCTGGTCTACATTGTTAAAAAAAAAATGGCAACTCTTTAAAATATTATTGGGAGCTGGAGAGATGGCTCAATGATTAAGAGCACTTATTGCTCTTGAAAAGGACCTGGGTTCAGTTCCCAGTACCCACAAAGTAGCTCAGAACTGCCTGTAACTCCAGTTCCAAGGGATCTGACTTCCCTCTTCTGGCCTCCACCGATTTCCAAGAATGTTGTCTCTGAGTTTCCCATCTGTAATTATGATTACCTCCCAAGATGTCAGCAGACTTATGTACTATGCCTACCCATGATTCTCCATTAAGGTTCAAAGTGACTGAAGATTTTTAAGCAGGTATAAATAGAAAAGAAATACCTGTGCTATGGTTAACAATAGGAAACGTGTACTATTTCTCTAGCATTGTACTTTAAAGAGTGGTCAGGAAGTTCCTTCTGGCAGCACTCCGTGTGGCATCCTATGTCCTGTGGGTCCCATCAAGGACTTCCTAATTAATTGTCTTACCTAGCAGAGAGGCAACTCCTTTATCTGGCTTGAAGAACCCCATTCAGGATTGCACATAGTTACTCAGCCAATGCTTCAGTAGGAAGAATTGACTAGCTGAAGTTACGGGCTTTGTCTTTTGTTGCTGTTGTTTCCTTTCTCTTTTTTTACTGTTTCACTTTAAGAAACACTAAGTTTTACCTCTCAAACTGACACAAACCTGAATTTTTACTCCAGTTTTAATGTTTTCCTAACCTTGGTGGTGAACCTCTCTTGCATTTGGTGGGTTAGATAGGTAATTGATTTATCCTCCTGCTTCATTTTTTGGTCCTAAACCTTTGGAAGGAGTGGGGACAAAAACAATGCTAGTGCCTAGAAGGTAATTAAGATGCCCTCACCGCTTCTACAGCATTAAGGGCGAAGGGTAATTTTCAGCCTACTCGTTTCTATCAGTGCCAACTGTTAATTGTTTACTTAATGGCTGGAGCCGCGCAGCAACAGTAAATACACAGTATTATGTAGGTCTCACACAGCAGAATTAATGCTCATGTGACTTGGACTCCTGGCCCTAGTGAGCTCTCAATTTTAAATTGAAAATTTTAGGAGAGTCTATTTGGAAATCTGGCTCCACATTTTGACAAAAAAAAAAAATAGATTGGGTGAATTTGAAAACACAGCTCTCTTTAGCATAGAAGAAAGACTGAGTCTGTAGCAAATTCATCATGTGCTTTAACATAGGAACACTATTAACTATTTCAAATAAGGATGTTCTTAATAAAGTCTATTTAATGTTAGTCATTATACTCTCTTGGTTTTCCTTAAAAGTATTACTAGAGGTGAACGATTTTGTCAACAGGAAATTGCTATTCTTTCAGGTTTTGCTCGGAATCTCTCAGAGGGCAATAATGCGAATTATACCGAGTATGTGGCTACAAGGTGGTACCGGTCGCCAGAGCTATTACTCGGGTGAGTTACTTTTCTAATAGTGTGGCCTGTGCACACTTCTTGTTTCTTTGTCATTTGTATTGGGATCACTTATGGAAAATAAAAACTGGGGTTACTTAAATATATCAGTTGCATGTTCACTGCAGAAAAAGACCCCTAACGATGTCATGCTGCTGAGAAACAAGCTGCCTTGTCTTGATCTCAGTTCTGGGTTCCTGTGGCTTGAGTTCAGCCCAGTAGCCTCTCCTGGAGTCACTCCGATGGTAGCTAGTTGACTAGCAGATGGACTGGGAATACGTTGATGTAGAGTCCTTTGACTTGTGTCTGATAGACCTTTTGACTCTCTCTCTCTCTCTCTCTCTCTCTCTCTCTCTCTCTCTCTCTCTCTGTCTCTCTCTCTGTCTCTCTCCCCGTCTCTCCCTCCCTCCCTCCCTCCCTCCCTCTCTCCCTCTCTCTCTCTCTCTCTCTCTCTCTCTCTCTCTCTCTCTCTCTCTCTCTCTCTCTCTCCTCTCTGAGACAAGGTTTCTCACTGGCGTGTACCTAGGCTAAGCAAGGTATCCCTCCGTAGCGAATGGACTCCAAAAAGCCAGTTCATGCACTAGGGATAAACCCTGGCCCCACTGTCAGTGACCACACAGACTGCCCAAGCCACACAACCATCATCCACATTCAGGGGGCCTAGTTGGGTTCTGTGCAGGTTACCCTGCTGCCAATCCACTCCTCATTTCTTTGAGACAGGATCTTTTGCTGAGCCTGGAGCTCATTCAGTTGGCTACCCTGGTTGGCCAGTGAGCCCCCAGGATCCTTTTGTCTCTGCTTCCCAGCGCTGGCATTACAAGTACCCACTGCCATACCCAGATGTTTCTGTGGGTACTAGAGATCAAAACTCATGTTCTCATGCTTATTAAGCAAGCACTTTACCCACTGAGCTATCTCCCCAGCTTCTTGGGCTAACTTTTGATCCTGGAGTTAAGATTGTTTTCCGTTGTATCCATCTGTGTTTCTCCTGGTATGTTTGTGCATCACTGGGCTTTATTATATTCCTTTGAGGAATTTGTGATTTGAATTTATAGGACACTATTTGCTAAGGAAGAGTAGGAAGCAGATCATTCTTAGAACCACAACCAAGAGCCCAAGTGTGGCAGAAGTCTTTAAAATGGGACTTTTGTCTATAAACTAGACCCATGTAGTCTTGTGGGGATAGCTTTATTATGAATTTTTAGAGGACATTTTTTCTCTCGTGGCACCCATTGGGAAGCTGAGGTTATATTCGTAGATGTTCATAGTTGCTAAAAGCAGATGCACACAGCACAGCCAACTTCAGCACAGTGGAATCGATCGTCAGGTTCTAGTTTAAGTACCATACTATTTGTGTAAAGATTTCATTGAAATCCGTCGGTATTTGGTTTTATATTGAGTCTACATGTTTATACATTCCGAGGACTTTGTCCTTGATATCCAAAATAGTTTCAGCTGCATAAGGTATTCAAATTAGATGACAGGATTAAAATAGCTTGTCATGAGTGTGAGATTTTTTTTCCATAGGTTTTTCAATCTAGTACCATATGACAGGTTTTCTTTATCTCAAATAGTAGTTTTAAAATCGGTATGCTTAATTGCCCAGAAAGCTACCAAAATTGTTTAAATGAGCTTTCCTCGTGGTTTTATATCTGGGGGGAGGGGACAAAATGAGATAAATGAAACACTGAGTTATTGTTGCAGTAACTTGTATTAACCTAAATGTATTCTGTATGCTAAAAATGCTTTAGTTTAAATTTTTATATTAGCTTTATGGCATTCTAGAATTTCATTTGAGATTATTTTTCATATATTTTATTTTGGCTTTCCCTTTTTAAAGCTTGGATTCTCTATGTTTGAAACTGTGTATAAGTTTTGTTTAAACTGTCGTAAATAATTTTATTTTAGATTTTAGGTACCAAGCTATAAGCTATATGGGGAGCCTTAAATTTTCATTTATGGCCTCCATTTGTAGCAAATTCTCTTCGTCAAGCTCTCTAGTGATTTAGGTCCTAAAAGAGAGCTACAAACCCTTAAGCCCATTAAAACATTATTTGCTAGAAGTAGTTATCAGAATGCCTTGTATAAAATAGTTATATCTAAATAACTCATCTTAGCTGTTAGAAATTATGATTCTACGCAATCAGAAGCTAAATAACATTCAGTATTTGTTTAAGGTACATAAGGCAATGGTACATTTTACCAGACTAAAGCTTAAAGTAGTAATTATTTGAAAATACATTTCTTGGGAATATTTCATTGCCTAAGTGAGGTGTTCTTATTCAATATGTACATTAGTTTATTAAAGCCATTCGTGTTCAAGATATATCTAGATTTCAAATAAGTAAATCCTAACTCCATTGTGCTTAAACTGATTTCTTTTAGAGTGTGGGTTATGGACTTGTAGTCTAAATTTTTATGTAGATGCTCTAATTTCTTATTTCCAGTCTCACTTTTGCTAGTGGCCCTTTTAAATTCCTTAAGTACATGCATGTCTTAAATCATGAATTTGGTCTAAATTAAGTTGGGAATTATTAAACATTTTGTGTCTTCAGTTGTTAAGATTGTCTCTTCTTTTGCTTTTCAGAGCTCCCTACGGCAAGTCCGTAGACATGTGGTCAGTGGGCTGTATTCTTGGGGAGCTTAGTGATGGACAGCCCTTATTTCCTGGAGAAAGTGAAATTGACCAACTCTTTACTATTCAGAAGGTGCTAGGACCACTTCCATCTGAGCAGATGAAGCTCTTCTACAGTAATCCTCGTTTCCATGGGCTCCGGGTAAGAGGCTTTGCTAAAATCCGAAATGGAATCATTCTGCCAGTATTTAACGTGCTGTTCACTGCACAATAGAATGCTAAGCTTCCCATTGCACACTCTCCCTATCCCATCGCTGTGTTTTTAATTCTCACTGTGATATTTTATTTCTGAATCTTATATAGTATTTGTGAAATTAAAAATAGCCACAGTTGGAAAGCAAGAGCTGCTAATGTCTTTTTTCTAATCTGTAAAGTTTGATTTTTCAGTATCTTTTTAGCATGTACGTTATTTTATTCCAAACTTTTATCTTACACTATCTCTTTATTCAGAATATTAAGCATCTCTGAAAGACAACCGTATGCTGCTGTCGACTTAGGTGAATATATTTGTGGTGTCTTGCAGATGGCCATGGGTGCTTGCGTTCTACAGATTTAGAGGTTCTGCTTCACAGATTTTTCTTGTACACTAACAGTGGAACATCAGATCCCTGTAGAAGTCAGAGCCTTGGGCATGTTTTCCTAGGCTTGATGCATTTGTCTGCTGAGACTATAATAAAAAATATTTTCAAAACCATGAACTTTATCCAAATGAGGAACATGTAACTGCCAGCGGTACCTCATCAGAATGATAAGGGTTTTCTATACTGCTCTTTACTTCCATCTACCCCCAATGCAGCTTTTTAAGTGTTTAAGGAGCCCTTTAAGCCAATGTGCTAATTTGTAGTCTTTGCAGAAACTACTAAACAAGTTCATCATTCCTTGTTTTATTTTCCAGTGCAAATTTATAAATCTCAAACCATTCTATTATTTGTTTTAATATTTTTTTATTCTTTGAAAATGTTGTATAGTCACACAATGTATTTCAATCATGTCCCTCCAACTCACCCTAGGGTCTCCCTATCTCACCTCTCTCTAAACTTCATGTCTTCCATGGTTTTTGTCCTTGTTGTTATTGATAACCCCGAGTCTACTTAGCGCTTCCCGTGTATGTATGAGTGACCTACTTGCATCTATGTCCCCAAAGGAAAATGACTTTTCTTACCTCACAACCATCAGCTATCATGAAATGACAAATTCATGATGTCACTTGTCATTTGTAAAGTGCTTTGGTTTTTTTTTCTTTGACTTTCTGGACCTCGGTTAGTTTCTCCTGCTCACATATGTACATAACACAGTCCCAGCTCCTCCTGAGATCAGCACACATGGAAGAAATGAACAAAGTGAGCTGTATATACTTTTTCATTCCTCTCTCTGCTTTCTTTTTTCACTTCCTCCCCCAAAGGTGCCTGTTACTTTAGACTATTTTCTCCTTTTGTTTTTGCTTATATTAGCCAAATTGTGATCATTGATTAGTTTACAAAATAGTATGTAGTTCAAAATTAATTTAACAGTTATGGAACATTTCTCATACTAGAGGCTGAAAATGTGGCAATAAATAAGACCTGATCTTGGTCTAACAGAGAGGCAAGTATTATATTCACAAATACTGAATTTCTGTTCTCACTGAGGATCATTCCATGCTCTCTGCCATAGCCTGTGAGGTCTCACATGGTGGGGCCTTTGGTTCCCTGACCTTGACGCATACTGTCTCCATTTGCCTCCCTCCAGATTCTCACCACACTTGCCTGTTCTTTTACCTCTATGGGCATTCTGAGGTTTTGGTACTTCATGACTACTTGGTAGTAGTTTTGATTACAGTCCATACGGTAGGGAAGTCACAACTGGAGGAGCTTGAGGGAGCTGGTCACATTGCATCTTCAGTCAAGAAGCAGAGAGTGGCCAACTATGACTCAGTTCCCTTCCTCCACCTTTAATAGTCCAGAATGATCCTGCCCACAATTAAAATGGGCCTTTCTGCATCAATTAAGGTAATCAAGATAACCCACACAGGCATGCCCACAGGCCCCTGTTCCAGGAAATTCTAGATTTCTGTCAGGTTGACAACACTAAACCATCCTGTCTGTGGTAGACACTCACTGAATGACTGAATGAGTCCATGCCATCATCAATCAAATTCATTTGCATTTCCTTTCTCTCTGCCTCTAATGCTGCCTTCCCCCGTCGACCTTACGTGAACTTTGAGTTATTTTCAAACTGATTTCTTTTTTTTTTATTAAAAATTTCTGCCTCCTGGCGGCCTCCCATTTTCCTTCCCCTTCCCCCATCCCCCTTCCCCTCCCTCTCCAGTCCAAAGAGCAGTCAGGGTTCCCTGCCCTGTGGGAAGTCCAAGGTCCTCCCCCCTCCATCCAGGTCTAGGAAAGTGAGCATCCAAATAAACCAGGCTCCCACAAAGCCAGTACATGCAGTAGGGTCAAAACCCAGTGCCATTGTCCTTGGCTTCTCAGTCAGCCCTCATTGTCCACCATATTCAGAGATTCCGGTTTTATCCCATGCTTTTTCAGTCACAGTCCCACTGGCCTTGGTGAGCTCCCAATAGATCAGCCCCATTGTCATGTTCTCCCTCCTTCTGCTCCTCATTTGGACCTTGGGAGCTCAGTCCGGTGCTGCAGTGTGGGTCTCTGTCTCTATCTCCATCCATCGCCAGATGAAGGTTCTATGGTGATATGCAAGATATTCATCAGTATAGCTATAGGATCAAACTGATCTCTTAAACTTTCTCTCAAACTACACTTTTAAGTCTGTCTCCGTTTTGCTTACCACTTTCTATGATTTCTGTTAAAGTTTAAACTCTTTAGGGTAGCATTCAGGATTCTCTGGCCTCATCATCCCCTGTCCTGATCTCTTTCCTATATTCTCAGGCCACCAGGAACCTCCCGCCATGTGTTTGGCACGGCCCGAGTGCTGCACTGTTATCTCTAGCGCTCCGAGCACAGCCTAGAGCCAGTGAAGCCCTTCGAGAGTGTGCATCTAGGCTGTTTTACACTCCTGTAGCACTTTGATCACATTTTTCTTTGCTGTTATACCCATTAATGCTCAATTAAATAGCTGTTCGCAAATATGCCTCCTCACCAGGCTTGTGACTTTGTTGAGGAAAGAAACTGCTCCATTCATATCACACACCTAAGGTGGTATCTCCTAGATTGCATAGTGTTGATTTATTACAGGTCTGGTTAGAAGGCCTGTGCCACAGAATCTGAATGGTGAGCAGATTTTGACATTTCTAGGCCTACTTAATAACTTAGAAACTAAGGAATTAAGATGTTTTCTTTATCCCTCAACTTTATTTTTTCTATTCTTTTAGTTAGCATGCAGAATAATTTTTTTTGTATTCATGTATGTATATCTTTGTGTCTTGCTCTTATTCACCACCTTCACTACCCTCCTTCATCCTGCCTCTTCTCTCTAGCTGGTCCCTTTGACCTACCCTGCAAATAATCTTCTTTCTTTCTATGTGTGTGCACACACACACACCTAGATTCTGCATATGAGAGAAAACATGTGATATATTCTTTCTTTCTCCACTATCCTGGCTTTTTCACCTTCAGCTCTGTCCAAGACCTCTTCCTTCTTCTGCCTCATAGTGAAATCCATATTCCACATGTGAAAGGAAAGTTCTATTTGCTTTCTTGAATGTGGCTTCTTTTGTTCCAATGGTTATCTTCCAGTCATCCATTTCTCTACAGCTGACATGGTTTCAGTGTGCTGAATGACTGAATAGGATTCCATTGTTCATGTATTTCATCTGTTCATCTTTGGTAAGCATCTAGACTGGATCTGTGGCTTAGCTCTTGTGAGTAGTGCTACATTAGGTACGGACATTCTGGAACCTCTGTGGTATGCCATTGTCAGTTCCTTTTGGGCAACACCCAAGAGTGGTATAGCTCAGAGACCAGATGGTCGTTTTCAGCTTTTTTGAGGGCCCTCCACCCTAAGTTCTATAGGAGCTGCACAAGTTTGCATTCCTATTAGCAGTGAATATGGATTCCTCTTTCCCGCATCCTCATCAGCATTTGCTGGTTTACTCAGTTTTGACTGGAGTAAGAGAATCAAAGGCAGGTTTAATTGGCATTTCCCTCATGCTAAGGTTGAAGTTTTTTTCAACTATTTATTGGCTTTCCGTGTATCTTCTTTAGAGGAATGTGTTCAGTTCATTTACCCATTTGTCGATTGAATGTTCTGGGTTTGGGTGTCTAGTGCCTTTTGTTGGAGTTGTTTTGTTTTCTTAGTTCTTCATAGATGCTATATTTTTGGAGACAGGGTCTTACTAAATTGCCAAGGCTGGTCTGAAACTCCATGTAACTGAGACTGCCTTGCCCGAATGATTTCAACATCATGCAGGTATTATGGCCTATGCTTATGTCACAAAGATATGAGAATTTCATAGAGAAAAACGAAACAAAAACAAAAATACTAGTATAAAGCACAAAAATAATTTTATACTGAATTAATTTGTAAACTATAAATTTATACGCAAGCATAATGCACTGCATTCCATCTCATTGTTCTGCTTCTATCATATTTCATTGTGATTTGGACCAGGAGCATGTCATACTTTCTGGCAAGTTGGAAATCATATCTGGTATTTTATTAGAACAGCTTTTTTTTGGTTTTTTTTTTTTTTTTTTGGTTTTTTTTTTTTTTTTTTGGTTTTTCGAGACAGGGTTTCTCTGTGGCTTTGGAGCCTGTCCTGGAACTAGCTCTGTAGACCAGGCTGGTCTCGAACTCACAGAGATCCGCCTGCCTCTGCCTCCCGAGTGCTGGGATTAAAGGCGTGCGCCACCATCGCCCGGCTAGAACAGCTTTTATGGGCAGATTTGAAATTTAAGGTGCATCTTTGAAGAATAAATCACATTTGAATTAGAGGCCACATTCAAATTTATAGGACCCACAAAAATCACCGTTTTCTCTTTTGTCTGTGGTCCTGTCTATTCCCAGACCTCCTCTCTAAACAACAGCATCTATGGCATGCTCGCTAGCATGTGAGAGCTCTGTAAATATCCTTCAGGGAGATTGCTGCTTCTGGGACAGTTAGGTTTTTATAGACGTTACTGTATTTGCATTTTAGTCTGAAGTGTTCATGGTGGCTTAACGAAATTAGTGCTGTCTTTCTTTAGAGGCTTAACAATGACTTTTAAGGGAAAAGTTTTTCCTTATGATAGTCTCTGAGACTGTCTGTGACAGCTAGCTGAGCACACAGGGCCCATGAACTGCATTTGCTGCAAACCATGCACAAACCAGCATGGTGTGTATTCGCATCCACTGGTGTAGAGAACTGGAAAATCCACAGCATGCCATTCTACTTCTAGTCATTATTTGGAAAAAATAATCATTAGTGTACCACAGTGGGATTAGAACATCAGAGTCCCCATATTTACGACCTTCCAGAAGCTATGTCATTCTCTTGTGGCTTTGTTTTCTTCACATGTGAAATATTGACGGGTTGTGATGAAGGAGAATGATCTATGAGAATCACTCTGTAGGGCCAGGGTGTACCTACATAGTAGAGTGCTCGCCTAACAGGCCCACAGACCTGAGTTCCATCCCTAGCACTGGAAATGAACAAAATGCCAAGGCCAGGTCATAGTGTATAGCTTGTGCTCAGTAAAGAGGAACTCAAATGATTAAGAAAGTAAAAACCCTAGCATTAGTTTTAAATAGTATGTTCCAGCTTTGGCTCTTTGTCGAATTATCTCATATTAGAATAGCATATTTCATTTAATAGCATATACATTATATTTTTAAATTGAGATTTTGCCTGATCATCCTTAAATGTTTTATATATTTTAAGATTATAATGCAATGGCATCTTTTCTCCCTTCCCTTTCCTCCCTCCAAATCATCCTGTGTGCCAGTCTGTGCTCTCTTTCCAATTAATGGCCTCTTTTCCCATTAATTGTTGGTACATGTGTGTTTGTATATAATTGTGTGTGTATTCTTATTTATAACCAGCTCAATCTCTCTATTGTTACTTGTATGTATGTTTTCAGGACTGATCAAAGTTTGGTATGGTACACCTGCTCGCAACATACCTTAGTTGCCTCTAGTTCCTTATACAGAGTTGAAGCCGTGTGAGCTTTCCTTGTCCACATTAGCATGTCTATCAGTGTCCTCCTTGTTCAACTCATGTTTAGTCAGCCACGTTGGTGAGATTTTATGCATGTAGCTTCTGACATTTCTAGGAGACATGATCTCACAGAAAACTCCCTGTCCTGGTCACTTTTCTTTGTTGTGATCCTTCTAAGACCTTTTAGCTTTCAGAATTAATTTTCTTATCAATGAAATGTCATTCCCAAGGAGAGAAAAGAAGGGTATGTGATCTAATAATATAGACCTTAGAAGAAAAGTCTTGATTAAATTTTACTAGTGGAGAGTCTTCTATCGTGGTGTGACAGGTGCCCCTCCCTTTAGTCTGATAGTTAATGCTGCAGTAGCACCAAAAGGAACTTGGGAGAGGTACTTTGTGTTAGGAGGGGGTGTGGATCACAGGCTTAGATGCAGATAGTACTTCTGTTCATTAATTATGTAGCTTTCCTCAAGCCAGTTATTTGAACTTTCTGACCATCATTTTCCTCTTCTCTAAAATGTAAGTTTAAATAATACTTAAAATGCTTTGCACAGCATTACTTCCCTGTCTTTCTTTCAAAGTTGAGTTTAACATGTCCACGGGTTCTTCTACAGCCTCAGGTTCTCACTATTTATTCCAGACTGGCCTCAAGCCCAAGCTCTTCCTGCCGCAGCCACTCTCTTGAGTGCTGAGACTACAGGTGTATGCCCCCATGACCGCCTTTAGCTTCTCATTTACAGATGCATAGTTAATTCCTTTCCAACCAGACAACAAATTTCTCAAGTGTATCTCTTACCCTACAGAATGTAGTGTTGAGATGGTAGCATAAATATTTCTTAATATTTTGTTTGATGTTACCTTTCATTCAGCTTGTTTAAGGATTTCTGCACCTTGAAATGTTCCTATGTTGGTATCAAGGAATTATGTATTACAAGCGAACTGTTTCTCAACATTTGGAAGCTTGGGTTCTGCCGGTGTCTTACTCAATGCTTCAATACCACTCAAGATATTGCCGAGTGTAAATTGGTAGAAGAAAGGGTACAACATCAAAATAAGTTTCAACATCTCTTACTTTATTTAGAAATTAATTCGTTGATCTAAGTGTCTATGTTTACCCCTTTAGAACTTTAAAGTAAGATTTTTAAAATAGATCATTAGAAGAGTATATTAAAAACAATAATAGGACATGTGCCTAAATTTACAATTTCAAAATGAGCTTTTCAGGTTCTGGCCTCTTGCTGCCTTTTTTCCTTTCTTATGTCTCCATTTTCAGGAGTAAATTACATATTCTTGTGGAAAAACCAAGACATCTTTATATGATATCATATCATGGCCCTTCTGTTAGTTCTCCAGTCTGTCAGTATTGAGAACTGTCTGTTTCAGCAGACAGTTTATCTATAAATTGTTTTAGAAGCAAGCTGTATAAGCAGACAGAATTCTATTAAATATACAGCCAGGACTTTTATTCTCTTTGCGAGCTTCAATATCCTCTATCTAACTTTAGATATCACCTGTAAGTTTTCCCAATATTTACTATTTGGCCCTATTAATGCATATCTAAAATATATAGACACAAAAAGTAATATAACAAATAGTAATTTGACTTGGATTGATGCTAGGGTAATGATTTCCATCCAGCTGCTGCCTTGTGTAACCCCCAAAAATGTCTGTACACATACCCTTCCCCAAATGCTAACATCCATGCTGTGTTGTCCTTACAGTTTCCGGCTGTTAACCATCCTCAGTCATTAGAGAGAAGGTACCTTGGAATCTTAAATAGTGTTTTACTTGACCTCATGAAGGTAAGAAAAGTCAATTTTTTTATAAAAAGAAGTCCTTTGGTCCTGTGCCTACTTGGGACCATAGCCTGCTTTTATGAATTAAATGTTTCGTTAGTAGATGATTAATGGGGAGTATGTCATGTTAAAAGGCATGTAATTTGTTTATAATTGCAACAGGAATCTGGTGTTGTCTCAGTCCATCCAGAGAGGAGCATGTAATCCCTAAATTACTTTCCTAAAATGGGCAGAATAATGAAAATCTGTTGGCCCTCAAGAGCTACTCACGCTTACATTTTAAAACAACTCTTAAAGTGAATTTTGTAAGACAAAAGATTTTACAATTATTTGTACAGAACATTGAAGGCTACTCATGGTTTATGCAGATTTAATCAGTGATTCTAATTCTGGTTATTGGTTGTTTTTTTTTTCCCCTCTGACTGGGCCTCTTCTCACCAAGGTAGATTGCTCTTCCTGGTTTTCTTTAGATATATCAGGATCACTACTACCATCATGACCTGAACGTTCCTCCTGTCAAAAGACGTCCTACTCCAGACTACTAAAAGCATCCTCAAATTTTTAAGATTTATTTTATTTTATTTTATTATGTGTGTATGTGTTTTGTCTGCATGTCATGCAGTGTCTGCAGAGGTCCAAAGGAGGCAGCAGCTCTCCTGGGCCTGGAGTTACAGGCTGTTGGGAGTTGCCATGTGGTTGCTGGGAATCAAACCTCTGGAAGAGGAGCCAGTGCTCTTAACCACTGAGCCACCTCTCCAGCCCCAAAGTTATTTATTAAAGATTTTCTTACTGGGCATAGTATCACATGCTTGTAGTCTCAGAATTTGGGAGGCTGAGACAGGAAGACCTCTCTCTAAGTTTGAGGCTAGCTTGAGTTACAAAGACTCTGTCCCAAAAAATGAGCAAGCAAAGATTTTTCCACCTCGGCCAACAGTGGTCTCTTAAGTGAAAGCTATTTTTCAAGTTTTTGTTTCAGGCAGTAAATGTACAGGCAAACATTGATTGTTTCAGAATAGAGCGTCACTGCTTGATTATGAGTCCGTTTTGTTTTATGCCCGTCTGTTCAGCTGTCAAAATGTGGAGGCTCCACTGTGTGCAGGAACTTCAAGCTCAGCAAGTCACTGAGCTGTGTTCTTAGAACTTGGCTGTGTTTTAGGGTATGCTCACCTCTGTCCCAAGGAACAGTGTGAGTGGGTGTGGGGCAAATGTGGAGAAGGGGCTCTCTGGCGTTGGGGAGAGGCCGTATACCACATAATGTTTCTAGAGATACATAGCGTTCCTTAATCCATGGAGGAGTCAGAAATCTCACAGTAAAGCATTTCTGTCTTAACATTTTCCAAATTTAATTAAATACCAAGTACCGTGTTCTCTGAAACTCTAATAAAACACTGGTGTTATTAACACAGATTGAGAACTGCTATATTTTTCTAGTGAACCCTCAACACTCGTTCAATTTAATTAGACAAATTATTAGGTAAATCAGTTGGATTTTGCCAATACTTTCTTTCATGTAGCCAATACTTGTTAATTTGGGCCTTACTCAGTAACTTTTAAAATATAAATAGAACAGAATAGAAAAAGATTGAATTAAATACAATCTTTTGTCTCTTTTTTTCTTTAGTTAAAACTGTAATGATGATTAGTGAGAAAAAGAGGCCATGAATTTGAAGGGGAGTGGAGAAGGAGAAGGGTTTGGAGGGACGAAAGGGCTTGGAAAGCAAACATTCTAGTTCCTATCATTTAATATGTTTTTGTTACTGCTCTCTAAAAGTAAGCAAGTACTTTTATTGAAATACAAATTCAGGGGCCTGAAGAGATGGCTCAGTTCACTGACTACTCTTCCTGAGGACCCAGGTTCAGTTTCCAGCATTCACATGGTAGCTCACAACCACTTTTAACTTCAGTTCTGGGGGATCAGAGGCCCCCTTCTGACCAGGGTAAGCACTGTATGAATAAGTGTGCAGACATATAATCATGCAAAACACACATAAACAGGCGCATACACATGCACAGACACATGAACTGCACATTTGAATGTATTCAAATTATGTCTACATCTCTGAGATTTTATAAATATAAGCATATTTTTGTTACCTTACCTGTATTAAGACATTCAAAACTTAGTCAATATCCAAGAAACCTCCTTTGGATCTTTCCTAGGTCTTAGCCCATTCTGCCTCCTTCAGAAGCCATCATTTTGATTTCTGTCACTGATTAATATTGCCTAATTATTATTAAATTATATATTCACACATATCACCATTCTTTTACCTATTTTTGAAGATTTTAAAAGTGAAAAGCCTCCATTGTCCTTTCAGTCAGTCTCTTTGCTGCTCCCTAAATGTATGCTAATTGTGTCCACATCTAATAATTAAAATATTTATCTCATCTTGTACCTCTTTAGAGCTGCTATTTTAGTAAAGATACAATCACTAGAATTAATGCACACCCATACCCTTAATAGTTTTAAAAATAACTACAATAATTATATTTGCTTTAGTTTTAAAAAATGATGATGCCTCCCCCAATACATGATCAATTTTTTAAACTGTTAGCTAAGTAAATTTCATACTATGCTTATAAGGTCTTCATGCTTTAAAGTAATTGTATTTGTAGCATATGAAAATAGTTTTGTCTGTACAGTAACTTCTACAGGATATCAAATAAGTTGAAATAGCGCCAACTCTTCTGAAAGGTCATAGGTGTTTTTAATTTAGAAAGACTTCTTGGGGGCTGATTTTTCTTTTTAATGAGATCTTATATTTGAAACCATTTTAATGGTAGCTGTTAGAAATACGAGTTTAAAGTATCATAGTTTGTGTTCTATAATAAGGGAGAAAAACAGAAATGAGACAAGTTTGCCACTTGCATGTAATTAGTGGTTGAGTTTCAATAATTAGAATCTTTGTATCAAAGTGAATATGTCAGTATCTGGTAGGACCAGAATTGAAATGTATGTGGTGCAATGTTTAAACTGAAGTCTGGCTTATTGGGAGCAAATTTGCTCTCACTAGTTAAATATATATATATATATATTAATTATGGATCAGACCAACTGAGCTAGAAGTACATTTGTGAATGTTGGAATTTTACCCATCTTCCTTTTCCTGAGATAACAAATACCTAGAAGAATGAATGCCGGCACTTTATTGCCCTGTGTTAGGGTATGTTGGTTATTTTTTTATGATAATTTGATCATTTTATCAATCAACTAAAAAATTCTGTCCAGCTAAAATGAGCAATTTTGGTGAAAACACTTCAGTTAGTGCATTCCACATAACACAGAGGGCTAGTACCTTAATGAAGAAAGAACACTTAAAACTAAGTAGGGATGCCTGCAGAAACAGGAAAATACGTGAGGAGACTGTGCCAGTGACTGGTCAGCAGCCTTGCTAACAGCAAAGATACGAGGTAAAACATCTGTAAGAGGGACTGGAGCCGTGGCTCAGTGGTTAAAGCCACTTGCTGCTCCTGCAGTGCACCCATGTTTGGTTCCTAGCACCTATTTGGATGACTCATAGCCACATGTAATGTCCTTTTCCAGCCTCTGCGGGCAACTGCACACACGTGGCGCATGCATGCGCGTGTGTGCGCGCACACACACATACACAGCAATAATAACTTTAAACAAACAGCTGTGATACAGAAGCTTTTATAATATCTGATTTGCAACCCCTAAGAAGAGTGAGAATGCCTATTGTTGGTGAGGGTCCCCAGAAACCGGTAGACTCCAACACTTCCTGAGAGGATTATAATTTAAAACAACCTTCCTAATTGGTAATTTGGCAGCATGAAGAAACAATACCTACCAGTGCCACCTTTAAGAAAGGATCCATTCGATTTCAAGTGTTTTGTCATAGCACTAATCATGATAGTGAAAGGTGGCTATCATTCAAGTATCTAGTAGTAGGATGCTTGCTGAGTAAATCATGATAGACTCATACCACAAGCTTCTGCACAATCATTTAAAGCCTTATTAAGATGGGAGGAGACAGAGCCTTGGGGCTCAGCCTGCAGTTGCCCAGCTACACCTCGTTGTAAGGTTGAGGATGTAGCTTGATTCTTATGCACTTGCTCAGTATGCACAAAGCCTTCGCTTCATTCCCCACCTTTCCCAAAAAGCATATTGTGAGACAGTGTGTTGCCACGTGCTTCAGAAAAAGGAAACTGTTGGAAACAATGTGACCTATTAGTCATCTGGGAATTCTAAAACCAAAGTATGAAGTATACACGGAGAGTTAAAGCTCTGTACTTTATGGAATGATCTCAGCATTGCATGCTAAGTGGAAGGGAAACTAAATACATACAGTTGTGTGCTTACAACTATGGGGGTAAAATGAAAAGAGTCAGAGGAAAGTAAGTGCAGATTATACCTATGTATAATGCACAGGGAACTAGTGCTCTGTCTCCAGCGAGAATAACTGGGTATCTTAAAGACAGTAGAAAGATGAAGAATGCAAATATAGGCTTATTATAAAGGTTTTTAAATGTTTAAGTTATACTGCAAAAAATATGTTTTTTATAAGTAAGTGAAAAGAATGGGATATAAAAACAAGTGCATATCACGAGCCAGGTATTATAGCAGAAAGATTATATGTGGTACTCATAAGCACGGCTAGAAAGATTTCTACCAAGAGGACTATAATTGTGAGGTTGTGGGCGATTTTTTTTTCATTCCTTGAGCTATTGTTGCTAGGTATTTTGCAGTGACCACATATTTCTTTTCTAGGAAGAAAGGATAAGGTAATTGGTAGAGTTTAAATTCAACTTTGTTCTTTCCATTCCTCAACTTTTATTTCCCAAGAATTTACTGAAGTTGGACCCAGCTGACAGATATTTGACAGAGCAGTGTTTGAATCACCCTACATTTCAAACCCAGAGACTTTTGGATCGGTCTCCTTCAAGGTCAACGAAAAGGAAACCTTACCATGTGGAAAGCAGCACACTGTCTAATAGGTAAATATTCCCTTCTAAGGAAATACAAATGCAGTCGTGGTCTTAGAAGTAGGTGGAAGAGGTGGCTGCTAAAATTATGCAATTAGAGGAAAGAAGGAAAGCCCCCTTTATTCAAAAATATCTTCTCCATGCTTATTACATGATTCAGAACTATAATTAAAGAGTTGTGTGGGACTCTTAAAGACTTTCTTGTATTTAACAAGTGTATGATGAAAACCTATGCGATCCCTTGGAAAGGTAGCATTCAATTAGAAACTCAGGAGGTTTCCAGCATCTCAGACAGCATTAAGACCTAGCTGATGTTGTGTAAATGACAGGGGAAGGGGGTTCTTGAAAGGTAAAGAAGACACTGAACATGTGTGGGTCACTGAAACTGAACTAAAATAAGAAGCCGCTTTAAGAAGGGTTTTGTGATTTTATTGTACTTGCCTTTCAATCATTGAGAAATGAGGGGTGTTTTTGTAATAAAAATAAGCGTATGAAAAGAGTGAAGCCAATAATTAAAAGTAGTACATTTTAAAAACACTTTTCGAGCATTAAAATATTTGTTTCTTGCCTAGGCATTCCTGTAATCCTAGCTCTGAGAAACCATTAGGGAGTCAAACAGGCTTCAGGCTTCCTGAGTTCTCCTGCCCCTCCCTCCTGAGTGCCAGGATTGCAGGCTTGTTGCCTTATCTGTCTGAAAACTTGTTTCTTCTCCCTCCCTCCCTCCCTCCCTCCCTCCCTCCCTCCCCTCTATTGCATCAGTCAGATCACCTTTCCTGTCCTGACACTCTCCAATACTGTAGCAGCATTTCTAGGAAAATGGTGTTCTGCGCAGCCTCCCCTGACTTCCTTCATTCTCTAGAACTCAATTTTGGCATCTGAGAATTTTTATGTATGGGATGTAGAACATCTGAGAATTTTTATGTATGGGATGTAGAAGTAATTTATTTCTCTTTTTTTTCCATTGATTTTTATTGAGCTCTACATTTTTCTCTGCTCCCCTCCCTGCCTCTCCCCTCCCCTTCAACCCTCTCCCAAAGTCCCCATGCTCCTAATTTACTCAGGAGATCTTGTCTTTTTCTACTTCCCATGTAGATTAGATCCATGTAAGTCTCTCTTAGGGTCCTCATTGTTGTCTAGGTTCTCTGGGATTGTGATTTGTAGGCTGGTTTTCTTTGCTGTATGTCTAAAGGCCACTTATGAGTGAGTATATGTGATAATTGTCTTTCTCGGTCTGGGTTACCTCACTCAAAATGATGTTTTCTAGCTCCATCCATTTGCCTGCAAATTTCAAGATGTTATTATTTTTTTCTTTGGTGTAGTACTCCATTGTGTAAATGTACCACATTTTTCTCATCCATTATTTGGTCGAAGGGCATGTAGGTTTTTTCCAGGTTCTGGCTATGACAAACAAAGCTGCTATGAACATAGCTGAGCACATGTCTTTGTGGCATGATTGAGCATCCTTTGGGTATATACACAAAAGTGGTATTACTGGGTCTTGAGGAAGGTTGTTTCCTAATTTTCTGAGAAATCACCACACTGACATCCAAAGGGGCTGTACCAGCTTGCATTCCCACCAGCAGTGCAGAAGTGTTTCCTTTTCCCCACAACCTCTCCAGCATAAGTTGTCATCAGTGTTTTTGATCTTGGCCATTCTTACAGGTCTCAAATGGAGTCTCAGAGTTGTTTTAATTTGCATTTCTCTGATGACTAAGGATGTTGAATATTTGCTTAAGTGTCTTTCAGCCATTTTAGATTCCTCTGTTGAGAGTTTTCTGTTTAGGTCTGTACTCCATTTTTTTTAATTGGATTATTTGTTCTTTTGATAACCAATTTCTTGTATATTTTGGAGATCAGCCCTCTGATGTGAGGTTAGTGAAGATCTTTTCCCATTTTGTAGGCTGCCATTTTGTGTTGTTGACCATTTCCTTTGCTTTACAGAAGCTTTTCAGTTTCAGGAGGTCCCATTTATTAATTGTTTCTCTCAGTGTCTGTGCTGCTGGGGTTATATTTAGGAAGTGGTTTCCTCTGCCAATGCATTCAAGTGTACTTCCCATTTTCTCTTCTATAAGGTTCAGTGTGGCTGGCTTTATGTTGAGGTCTTTGATCCAGAAGAAATCAAATCTAATGAAGCTTTTAAAACTTGAATATTAGCCCCACACACACACATGGAAATTTTCCTACTGTATATGGAAAATTATTCTTAATAGAGTGGAATTTTGAAAGATCAAAACCCAGCACTTTGAGGCCTGGGAGGAGTCCATCAGTTAGGAGAAGCGTTGGTCCTGAGTTTACCCTCCTAAGCTGTGCAAGTGGAACTGTTGTAGAGCTCTTTACACGTCGGGACAGTGGCTTGTTCTAGCACAGCTTTCAGCTGTTCTTAGGTGGTCTGTTTACTGTTCCTATCCTCAGGATTTTGCTATACTAAACCCCGAAGTAACTGTCAGCGTTTGGTTGATCCACTGCACTTGATTGATTAACATTATTCTCTGGGATCATGCCTGGCTTGGTTTGTGGCTTTTAGTCTGCCTTCTACTTGAATTGACACACGACTTTTCTGAATTACATGTACAAAGAAAATTATCCCAATGATGTAAAGTTTGGTAGACTAGTGATAAATTGTGAGTGGTACTGTACTCATCAGTGGTATAATCTGGAGTCTGAAAGGAAGCCTGGTGCAGGAGAATTGTCTGTATTCTTCAATCATGTTTTAAATAAATGCTGATTGGCTAGGCAGGAAGTATAGGTGGGTCAACCAGACAGGAAGTAGAGGCAGGGCGATGGGAACAGGAGAATGCTAGGAGGGAGGAAGCCCATTTCCCCCAATCTAGCCAAGACCATCGAAGAAGCAACATGTGTCCTGTCCCCGCTTTGAAAGGTACCAAGCCATGTGGCTAGCATAGATAAGAACAATGGGTTGATATAAGCTACAAGAGCTAATAAGAAGCCTGAGCTAATGGGCCAATCAGTTTATAAGTAATGCAGACTCTCTGTGTGATTTCTTTGGGGCTGAACGGCTGCGGGAACCAGGCAGGACAGAAACCCTCATGTTACAGAAGCCTGTATATTAATCTTGCAAAGACTAAGTTGACAGTAGCAATTGTAAGTAGATAACAATTTCAAGGAGAGTTCATTTTCGGGTCTTGGTGATATGTTGAATATATCAAAAGGAACAGTCCTAAGTGATTTCTCTTTTAGTAATCTTACATCATCTGATGCCTTTCTCACACTCTTGTCTGTGGTCCATACATACTCCACAGAAGCCTAGCTTGCCAGGGATATGAATTCTAGCTGGTGTCTCAACAGAGGCCTTCTAAGACCATTTTAGATGTATTCATAAAACTATGTCTGTTGGTTGTCTCTCACATGCTCCTCTGTCCTGCGCCTGGAGATGTACTGTCACCCTGTTGTTTGATATTTTACCTCTTTTGGCTTTTTTAGGGGCTTGCCACCCAGCTCCCAAATAAATCACAGAGGCTTATTCTTAATTATAAGTGCCCAGCCTTAGCTTGTCTTGCTTCTAGCCAGCTTTTTTTTTCTTATCTTAAATTATTCCATCTACATTTTCCCTCTGAGCTTTTATCTTTCTTACATCTGTATACTTTTCTTTTTACTCCATGGCTGGCTGTGTGGCTAGGTGGTTGGCCCCTAACCTCCTCTTCTTGTTCTCTTGCACCTCCTTGTTCTGAGATTTCTCCTCCTATTTATTTTTTCTGTCTGGCAGCCCCTCCTATCCTTTCTCCTGCCTAGCTATTGGCCGTTCAGCTCTTTGTTAGACCATCAAGTGTTTTAGACAGGCAACGTATCACATCTTCACAGACTTAGACAAAAGCAACACATATTTACATCATTAAACGAATATTCCACAGCATAAACAAAAGTAACACACTTTAAAATAATATTTTACATCACCCCATATCCCAAGTCATTTTCTCTCTAGGAGGCAGTGACCTCAGTCATTATTCAGTCACTGCTTGTCACCTTCAGACTCTTCTAAGGTTCCTCTCACCTTGTGCATGGTGTGATGTCATTTTGACTGTGCTTATCCTCTCAATGGTCCTGTTTTACACCTGCCCCTATTAATACAGTGTTGTGCCTCTGTCTCTGCTTGCTTGTTTGCCTATGGCATGTACAAGTCTAGCCTTGAACTTGTAGCTAGCCTTCGGCCTCCTAAGTGCTGGAGTTATAGGTTTGTATCACCATGCCCAGATATTTTTGCTTTTAAACTTATTTTAAGTAAACACATTAACTGTCTGTTCATTTATCTAGTCTGCCAACCATTTGAGAGTGATTTATAGCCAGACAGTAGTGCACACATGTAATTCCAGCCCTCTGCAAGTGGAAGCAGGAGAATCGTGAATCCAAGGCCAGCCTCGAGCAGTTTGTGGCTAATGTAGACAAGGCGCGGACCCTGCCTCTAAAACAAACAAGTGACTGAGTGATTTATACATTAAATCTTTTTAAGTGGCTGCCAGTTTAAAACAGATTCTTTGCAGTTGTGTGTCGATGAGATCTATGAAATTTTCAAAGCTGCTTTTTATTGTTGTGCTTTGACAGAGCTCCAATGTGAAGATAATATGATGCCCTTTCTACATAGAAATGACCATATATCTAAAGCTCAGTGGCTTCCAATTAATCCTGACATGGAAACATGCAGGGTAGCTGTTTATTTATGATGGATCTGGATCTTTGACAACCATTTCTGCCTTCCCTTTACAGCTTCCTTTCTCTTATATTGTTGTGAATGTGTGTAAGGTCACATGTAGACTTGCGTAGTAGTAATTCTAAGGGTTCTAGCAGCTCTAACAGATTTCTTTCCTATTCTTCATCCCTTCATGGTCCTGTTTTGAAGTTAAAACACTTCTGCCATTGCTATATCCTCTCCTGAAGGGAAAGGGAGAAACTATGATCCCAGGGAGAACTAGAGTTTGGCACAAGGAGTCCTGTGGAAGGGCTGAACCGGGACCTGAGTCAGGGTGCCTGGCCAGGAAGAAACAGGAATGTCTGCCTCCATCCCCAGCCTCCCATCTCCCTTTTTCTGTGATACTTCCTTCTTCTGCTCAGCCCTGCCAGGAGATAGCCAGCTAGGACCCAAGGGACCTGATCTCCAGTGCTATGCTCTTGAAGCTAGGACTGAGTAAAGAAGTGGAAGATAGTCAACACACTTACTCAGACCTATCTCTGGATAAGACATCTATCATAATTGAGGTTTCAAAAACTTACTGAGATATTTTGGTTACCAGGATGTAAGTAATCAGGCAACTCTGGTAGTTTAAACCCTGAAGCTTTTAGGGAACATACTAACTAGTTGCTGTTGTTGGATGGAGTATTCTGCTGAGCCATTATAACCTCCAAGTAGGTGGAGCTCAGAAGAAGGCTGTTGTCTGTCTACAAGCAGGGCTATTATCTTGTCAGAGTTAGCCATAATAAGCCCTAGTTCCACTCTGTCTTAGAGCACACTGTCTAGAGCCTGGCTCCTTCAAAATGTCTTTACACAGGTAACCAATATGAAGGAGAAGGAACAGCCCGACTAGAGAGATGGCTCAGCTGTTAAGGGCTAGACTCAAAGTAAAAGGCACAATTTGTTCCTTAGCCAATTAATGAAATACCCACTAATCATCTAGATATGGCACAGATGCATCATCCAATAAGACTTTCCTTTTGACTGCTACAAAAAGAACTTATCCTTTATTCCAATACTAGATCCTCTCTGTCCCAGAGCTTGCCCAGGGCACTTTTTGTGATATATCTCAGTACCCCCCCATTTCTTTCTTTCTACCCCCATACTGTGTTTGTGTGTGTGTGTGTGTGTGTGTGTGTGTGCATGAGAGAGAGAGAGAGAGAGAGAGAGAGAGAGAGAGAGACAGACAGACAGACAGACAGACAGACAGACATTTCTTGACCCTGCCTGTAATCAGTCTTGTGGACATCTTTTATGGCACTGCACTTTATTGATCTGAAGATAGGTTCTGTACATCATTTAACAGAAAATAAAACTTAACTCTCCTTTGTAATTCCTTTCTAAATCGGGGAAAATAAGAAGACATAGTTTTGTGGGTTGCTATTCCTATAAAATAGCAACAGCCCAAAAGAACCTTTCTTCCAATTAGTGTCTGATAGGAAAAAAAAATTCTTCCAAATCAGTCCATCTTCCCCAGTAGCAACACTTGTAACATTTTCTGAATTCACAGTAAAAATAATTAGAATTGTGTAAAGCATTCCTAACACAAGCTCATCCTTTGATTAGCTATAATAGAACAAGCTGCCTTGTGGAATGTCAATCTCGGCTTTCAAACAGAGGACAAGGGTTCTCTCTGGGTGACTATTTGTATATATTACACTAGGTAGGAAATGAAGCTTCGAGTCCTAAAGAAGGGCTCAGTCACTTTGGAATAATGAAGTGTGAAATGAAGAAGAGACTAAATTGTGTCTTTTACCAAGCAATTAGCACTTAAGACCCTGTGTTCCAGTATAGGATCCGTGTTTAGTTTACACAGAGATATCTCAACCGTTACTGATGCATTTCTGTGAAATGTACAAGGAGTCATCTCAAGAGCCCCAAGTAATTGCCACTTTTCTAAAACATAAACACAGATCATCGTGTTTTCCAACAAACCTCACTAGTCAGTTCACATTTCTTTCAGAGTGTCATCTTTTCTTCTAAATCATCAAAATTCCCATTCACAGACTCTACAGGCTGAAGATGAGATGCTAGCGTATGTGCATGTGTGTGTGTGCGCGTGCGTGCGTGCGTGTGTGTGTGCATGTGTGTGTGCGCGTGTGTGCGTGTGTGCATGCGTGCGTGTGCGTCTGTGCATGCGTGCGTGTGTGTCTGTGCATGCGTGCGTGTGTGTGCGTGCGTGTGTGTGTGCGTGCGTGCGGGTGTGCGTGTGTGTGAGTGTGTGTGTGTGTGTGTGTGTGTGTGTGTGTGTGTAGGGACTGTGAGTGTGCATCTGACACAGCCTACAGGTTTTACAAACAAAATGAAGCTCAAGGAACACGGTAACCTTCAAGTCTGAGTGTTGCCTTCTGCCCTTCAATCAAATGAAAGGGTTTTCAGATGTCTGCTCGCTGTCGTATTCTTACTAACTGTACTGTACCAGACAGTCATAGCCAAAGCATATTTTAGCTGACTCTTTCTCAGTGACTGTGTTGGCAGCCAGCAAGTTAGACAAACATTTAAGGATGCCAAAACACCGTCATAGGAAGTGCTTTATTGTTGAGTGACTTAGTATGAGAAACTTGCTTGTTATTGATAGAGACATATTTGAGAGGGTTAGTGATTGTAGTCATTTTTTGCCTCTTTAGAAAAATTCTTCTTGTACAATCTCTCTCATATACACTCACACACACGGTATTTTTTGATCAAAATGTTCCTATTACCATCTCATCCTCTTACTTCTTCCAACAAATCTCCTCCTCCCAAGTCCCTGTCTGACTTTCATGCCAGAGAGTCAGGTGTATGTGCCCCGCCTACTGCATTTAATTGGGGCTGCCTTCATGAACATGGTAAGGGGTTGTTAGCTGGAGTGGGAGCAATGCACCAGCGGCTCCACCACCAAAGACTGTGACTCCCATCTCTCTTCACCCTCTCTGGGCGAAGATTACAGGGCAACAGCCACGTCAGATCCAGAAAGCAGCTCTCCTTCCCATCCTCCAGCCCTTAACTTCTTTCCTTCCTTCACAACGATCCTGAGCCTTTAGGCATTTTTAGAATGTTCTCTTCTGATTTACTGTTCGCTTGCTTATTTGCTCTCAACATTATGCTCTGTCTGCCCCCACTGAAGGAAAATGATCTCCCTCTTTTGTTTTGAACATAGAAACCAATCCAGCAAGGGTGCCGCTTTACAGACTCACCACAGATCCAACAGCAAGGACATTCAGAACCTGGGTGTGGGTCTGCCGCGGGCTGATGAAGGCCTTCCCGCAAATGAAAGCTTCCTGAATGGAAACCTTGCTGGAGCTACTCTCAGCCCAATGCATACCAAGACCTACCAAGCAAGCACCCAGCCTGGGTCTGCCAGCAAAGATCTCACAAACAACAACATACCACACCTTCTCAGCCCAAAAGAAGCCAAGTCCAAAACAGAATTTGACTTCAGTATCGACCCAAAGCCTTCAGAAGGTCCAGGCACTAAGTACCTCAAGTCCACCAGCAGATCTCAACAGAACAGGCACTCGTTCATGGAAAGCTCCCAGAGCAAAGCCGGGACGCTGCAGCCTAGTGAGAAGCAAAGTCGGCACAGCTATATCGACACCATTCCCCAGTCCTCCAGGAGTCCATCTTACAGAACGAAGGCCAAAAGCCATGGGGCGTTGAGTGACTCCAAGTCTGTGAGCAACCTTTCAGAAGCCAGAGCCCAAATCACTGAGACTAATACCAGTAGATACTTCCCATCCAGTTGCTTGGATTTGAACTCTCCCACCAGCCCAACCCCCACCAGGCACAGTGACACGAGAACTTTGCTCAGCCCTTCCGCGAGAAATAACCGAAACGAGGGCACTCTGGACTCACGCCGAACTACTACCAGACACTCAAAAACCATGGAAGAGTTGAAGCTGCCTGAACACATGGACAGCAGCCATTCGCACTCACTGTCTGCGCCTCATGAGTCATTTTCTTACGGGCTAGGCTACACCAGCCCCTTCTCCTCTCAGCAGCGCCCCCACAGGCACTCCATGTACGTGACCCGGGACAAAGTACGAGCTAAAGGCCTTGAAGGAAGCCTCAGCATAGGGCAAGGCATGGCAGCAAGAGCAAACAGCTTGCAGCTCTTATCACCCCAGGTACCTCTTTCATCTCTTTGGTGGCTTATCTTGGGAAAGTGTTACAAGGAATATTTATAAGGTTGTTATACAGTTTTTCCTACTACAGTCAGCCCTGCTTTCATTGGGACAGTGAATGAAAGCAATTTTTGCATCATTCTATTAAAAAAAATAATTTAGTTGTGTGTAGTGGCACACACAATGGCACATTCCAGCACTGGGGAACTTGGAGACATAGGCAGGTGGATCTTTGTGAGTTTGAGGCTAGCCTGGTCTACATAGTGAGTCCCAAGCTAGCCAGAGCTATACAGTGAAACCCTGTCTCAAAAATAATAGTTATTATTTAAATGTTTAAATCAGTTGTTGAGTGCTCAAGACATCTCAAATTTGGTTTTAATAATCTATTTTTTAATGTTCCTTTCTGACCTGTTTTGCTGACAGATCATTTTTATTGAAATTAGAAATATGGATTAGCTTTTAGTTAGTTCAACTTTGGGGGAGGGGATTTTCTCTAATCTTTCTAAACCACATTTGTTTAAACATTTTTACTAATACCAAGTATCTTAACTGAATTTTAAATTTATCTTAAGCTAGATAAATTAAACTTCAGGCTAGGGTAAATGATAATTCCCCAGGCTTTTGGATTTTTAAAAGAGTTTTTAAATTATATATGTGTGTCTGTCTGTGTCTGGGTATGTGCACATAATTGCAGGTACCTATAGAGGCCAGGGGTGTCACACACCTTTGGACCTAGAGTTAGAGGAAGTTGTGAGCTGCTTGTCATGGGTCCTAGGATCCAAACTCAGTTCCTCTTAATTGCTGAGCCATCTCTCTGGCTCCTTGTTTTTTTAATTATGTATTTTTCCATTATTGTGTATATGTATATGACATAGGGCAAGGAATGTATTATGACATGCCTGTGAAAGCCACAGGATAACTTTTTGCAGTTGCTTCTCTCTGACCATTTTTATGAGGGTTCTAGGTCTCTAACTCAGGTCATTGGGTTTGCATGACAAGCATTTGACCTGCTAAATTATGAAATCACAAAGGCCTACATTAATAGAGCACGGGCTATGAATAGGCATAGAAACAGGGAGAAATCACTGAGCAGGAACAGTCGGAAATGGCTTCAGTGCAGCTAACAACCTGCCCTGTGTAGACAGTCAAAGGGCTGAGGAGTGAAGCTGAGCGGAGCACCACAGGAAGCCCTGATTGGAAAGATGAGATTAAAGTGCCCCTGTCATTTTGAAGTATATTAAATGACAGGGGACATTTGGCAACAGATGATTTGTTCTAACACTGTAAAATGTCATTACAGTAGCCATGCAGAAGTGTGCTGGTGTAGCAAAAGAAAGATGGAAGCAATTCTGTCCATCCAGTCTGGGCCCTGTTGGAGGCTCCCTGGGGAGGGAGAATTCTGAGCAGATACTTCTAGGGAGGTTGAGGTTTCCGTTTAGGGAAGAAAGTGATAGTAACAGGAAAGAGGATTGACAGGAGAGAAAATATTCCAAGAAGACTTGGTGCTGCATGGATCCCAACTGGCTTCACAATGTTGGAATGAACATGTAAGAGTTGAACAATTCTTGGGTGCCAGTATGAATGCAGAGTGGATCTCAAGGGCTGTGCAGAAGTGGACACAATAGGACTTGTCCACCGCAGGGCTGAAGGAAGCCTTCAGGGTTTCTTTCCTAGGAGCTCCAGTTCAGAGTTGGAACAGGGATTTATAAGCTCCTTAATTCAATATTTTTCCTCTCAGATGAGGCTCACAGTAGGTGGGTGAGCTGCTCAACTTTCCCTAACTCAAAGTAGAGCTGGGATTCTGAGGCCGTCTCCAGGTCCCCAAGCATAAAATGTTGGCAGGTTGGCCTGGTACCCGGTTAAGGGTGGGCAGGAGGTAAATATTTGCAGAGGCTTTAAATGGAGTTAAAGGAATGGACAAAGAGGCCTTGAGAGCTCACTGTAGAGATAAGAGTACCTGGAGTGTCGAGAAAGATCTCTAGGACCTGGCCACTGCCCATAGAATGGAGCTGGAGGTCAAAAACAAGCTAATTGTGTTGGCGTCAAGGCAAGTGTCAAACAGAAGAGAAAAACAAAAGGCGGTCTCCCTTGGAAAAATGAACAAATGACTGGCTCGCTGAGAGTTCGGCGAAAAGAATTTCTGTGAACATAGTGGTCATAAGCTAATTATAAGCAATTGCTACGACTTAGCATAGCTCCAGCTGTTACTTAAGTCCCGTTCAGGAGGTGCTATGCCAAGCCTTAAGAAAGGCCACAATTAAAGGCTAGAAGGTGGCCAGAAGGCTTGAAAGGTAACAAGGGTGCTGAGTTAAATCATGGCACTCATTCTCATGTAAAGTATTATAGCCACGTTCAAAAGCAAGAGGACCCTCACTGAGTTTAGTTTAAAAGTAAATAACTCATTCCCTTAAAAAAAATCTTTCTCTGGGCCTTTGTCAACAGTACAGGTGGCAAAGTAGAAAGAAGAAAGGCTGCTGTACCAAATGAATTTCTTTCCAGAATTCTCTAAATATGGTGGTGGGAAGGAAGGGGGAGAAATACCAATCTTATTTCAGTTTTTAACTTAAAATATTTTTATGTACATCATCTAGACTTGAGATACTTTTTGTGCATAATATATAGGATGCCAAATGCATCTAACTCCTTCTAATTGTGTCCCTTAATCCTCCCACCCCAGGGTGGAAAATGTGCTGTATTTTCTTTCCCCTTGGGCACTGTTAAGGACCTGCTGCTGTGCTGGGGTTGTGACTCACCTACTTGAGAGGGCTGTAGCTAGTGGGAGCATCTCTAGAGATAGGCACCATCATGATCCTTCCTAAGAAATGCATTGAACAGGTGAGCTGATGTCCTGGAGACGACGAAGGAGCAGGAAGCACCGGAGACTGTGGGAATTAGGGACTCTTAAGATAAAAATCATTATGGGGGATTATTCTTTTCCTTTTTTGCATTCACAAAGCATTTCCTTTCGTCTGCATCTACTGTGTTAGTCTCCTAGGAAAATAGATTTGCCTCTGCATCTTCCCTTTTGGAGAACTCTGTCTAAAATCTATAAAAGCAATTTTAGACTGACTGATAGAATCTCTAAGCATAATGCTGCTTAGAGCTGTAACTGTCTAGATAGAAAGGTGATTTCTCTTGTTGTTTTAAATAATTAATTGAACTATTTTCAGACTAATGGATTCCTTACTTGCCTTAACTTTAATGAGAATCTCCCTTTCTATCTGTTGGCCTTATTTTACATTCATCAGGTACTTTACTATTTTATGGGATGAGTTATGTTGAAGCCACCCCATGATCTTTATTTTAGCTGGTTAAGGTCCTCACTATATTTAATGATGACCATGATGAGTTTTCATCCCTAGGAGTAGGAAGTTTCTAGAAATCTCCTTCTATTTGCCTTGCAGCCTGGAGAACAGCTCCCTCCAGAGATGACTGTGACGAGACCTTCTGTTAAAGAGTCCTCCAGAGAAGGCACCACTTCATTCCACGCCCGTCAGAAGTCTGAGGTCTGAGCTCTAGAGTTGCTACATCTTAGAATGTTCTAGAAGGGCCATTCGCTCAGCAGCATGACAGCCTAGCTTTGAAACTTTATCTGTACCCAATTTCCCATAAATAAGTTGAACTGACTTAGAAAGTAAGTAGTTTTCCCCATGCCACAAGCCCAAGTTTTCCTTTAAAATGATCATAAAAAAAATTAGACACTGGTTAGACTGTTCCAAGCAGCACTGTCATCAAGCCATGGTTTAACTTTTATAACCTTGTTTCCTCCCTCAGGGTGGAGTGTACCATGACCCCCACTCTGATGATGGCGCGGCTCCCAAAGAAAATCGGCATCTGTACAATGATCCTGTCCCAAGGAGAGTTGGTAGCTTCTATAGAGGTAAGCCACCCCCCACCATATTTACTAGAATCTTCCTCTATCTTCTGCTGAATACACCCCTTTCCTTGTCCACCACTGTATTTTCATTGCCCCAGTGGACTTCAGATCAATAGTATTCTTGTTTTGTTTTATTTGTTTGTCTGTTTCTCTGTGTCAGTCCTGGCTGTCCTGGAACTCACTTTTTGGGAACTCACTTCCAGGCTGGCCTTGAACTCATAGAGATCCACCCACCTCTACCCCCCCAGTGCTGGGGATTAAAGGCTAAAGGTGTGAGCCACCACCACCACCCAGCCAGACCAACAGCAATCTTGCCTATGTTGCCACCATCTAACCAGATCTCTTTGTTACTGGTCTTACCATCTTCATTCAGTCCCTTGTCTCTTCTGTCTGAGCCCCTGACTAGTCTCTGTCTCCATGCAGCCATTCAAACAGTTCTCAGAATGATCCTTCTGAGAAGATATTGACCAGACCAATTCATTCATGTGACATTTACCCATGTCCCTTTGTGCCCAGCACAATTTGGCCACCCATCTGCATAGTGGGGTTACATGTAGATGATAGTGATGGATACAGCTCAGCACTAAAGCTCTAAACTTACACAAAACATGAGAATTTTTAAAATTACATGTATTTATTTTGTGACGGGGGGGGGGGCACTTATGCCATGGTATAACTGTGGAGGTCAAAGGACAACTTGTAGAACTCAGTTTTTTTTTTTCACCATGTAGGTCCTGGGATCAATCTCAGGCTACTACTTTGTAGACCTGGATTAGCCTAGAACTATATATGTAGACCAGACTGGCTTTACACTCAAAGAGATGTGCTTGTCTCTGCCTCCTGAATGTTGTGTGTAAAGGTGTATGCCAACATATACCCAGTTTGAGATCTTTAAAAATAATTTGATGGTGCATTTCTAGAGTGTAAATTTTATAGACGACAATGTGATAGTGTAAATTTTATAGACGACAATATGATACTGTAATGCCAGAAATTTGAACATGCCTAGAACATGTTAGTAGATAAAACAGAGAAAAATTATCTACCCTCATTCTCACTTTTATAAAAGAAATCACCAGTAAGTGTAATAATTCTATAGAGCAGTCAGATAATGGCAGTATAGGAGAAAGAAATAGATCAGGCACCCATTGCCCTCACTACCCCAAAACTGTGTCCCAATACCTTAGCTTCTATTGATAGCAAAGTAAAATCTCAATTCCTTGAGATGACATTCCAGGCAGTTTATGGTCACATCCTTGTTGTCCCCTCTAGCTGCCACCCATCTACCTCCACACGCAAGTTCCCACTCATACCCGGATTTCTCATGCCCTGAAACACACTACTGTCTTACTGGAGCCAGTTGTTCTTTCTAGTTTCTTTATGATCCCTTCCACTGTGACAGGCTTCCCTGTCCCTACTCCAGAAGTATTTCTTCTCTGGTCAACCATGGCCCCTTGTCTATGTCTGCGATACAATGCAAACCACATCGTACTTGTTTTCTGTGTTTCTCTGCAAGATTTTGAACCTCTCAAATATTCTGGACTCTCAAGATGGGGTTGGGAATCAGTGATTGAGTGCTTGCCTAGTGTGTGTGAAGCCTTGGGTTTGATCCCCAGATGGAGGGGAGCAGGAAAGGAAAGCCGGAGGCATGGACTGCCTCACACAGTTTCATAAATATTTATTAATTGATTTAAAGAACAGAATTCAAGAATAGCTTTAAAACTATACTTTGTTGTTGAACAGATGGCTAAGACAGATGTTTTCGAGGTGCTGTGTATTTAGGAGACAGTTAATAGAAAAAGGCAACCCCTTTGGGGTGTAACCATGTGATGATAATGTACTAATATTTGAGAATCCCGGTGCCTTGGTGGAGAAATGGACAGGAGGCTCAGCTGTTCGAAGCCTGCAAGACTCACCACAGCTTTGACTTTTAAGTCTACATTCCCTGACTTCCTGCTCCTTCTGTTGTTTTATATAAAGAGCTGGGGAAGTTCAGAAATTAGGGTCAGGGGACACAGACAGTTGTTTGATTATTAAAATTAGGAATCTGAGCTGAATGAATACACAGAAGTGTTACTCAGGAATACATGTGTATTGAATGATTGGGCTACTATGGTCCCTCCCATCTCTACCTTTGGAAAAGCACAAGGCATCAAATATGCTTCTTAATGACTGCCCCATTCCATGACGACTTTATACTCTTATAAGGCTAAACTTTTAATTCAGATTAAAGTTAATTAAAAAAATTTTGTCTTGTAAGAATATCTTCAGTGTAAATTTTTTTCTTATAAAATGTCCCATACTTTTTTGTTTCTACAGATGATTAGAGAAAATAGCCTTCTTTGTGGGGGAGGGTCTAACAATATAGACCAGGTTGGCCTCCAGCTGACTTCTCTCTCTATGTTTCAAGTGCTGGAATTATAGGTGTGTGCTATCATGCCCAGTACAGGAAATACTTTAAAATAAAATGGAAATAGAGTTTTAAATCAATGAATTAGTCTTTGACTTCTGGAAAATACTATTTTGGTTACAAAGGGATTGAATTGGTTAATATGGGGAAAACACCTCCTTTATTTCTCTTGTAATCTACTTGGAGATTTAGCAAATAGAACATTTTAATTTGTAGAAGTTCAGAAATAGAAGGGAAAGTTTCAACTAAATGAAACACCTGGAAACACCTGTTATTTCAATGATACTGGGAAGTCCTAAAGAAAAATAGTAGTTCAAAAAATGACAGATATTTCCAGATCTATCTAGACAGATGTTTCTAGAATAGGTTCATTCTTTCTTATCCAGAGGCAAATGAAATGGTGTCACTTTTTGTTGTTTTAATTTTAAATTTTGAGATTATAATTACATTTCTCCCTTCTCTTTCCTCCTTCCAATCCCTCCCATATGTTCCACCTTATTCTCATTCAAGTTTATGATCTCTTTTCCACTAATTTTATTGTCTGCATATATGTATGTATATATACACATATATTCATAAATGAAACCTGCTCAGTCTGTATAATGTTGCTTGTACATATGTTTTCATACAACTGACCTTTTGGCACCTCTCTTGCTCCTAGCTTTTCTCAGTTGCCTATAGTTCTTTGTGTAAGGTTGAGGCCTCCTGGGCTTTTTCTTGTCCACTTTGTTATGTCCTTTGATGTTGTCATTGCTCAACTCATGTTTGGGCACATTGGTGAGACTTTAGGGGTATAGCTTCATATGTTCCTAGGAACCACAATCTCACAGCAAATTTCCTAATTCTATGCCTTTTAAAATCTTACTCTCCCATAGTATTTCCAAAGCATCGGGTTCAGGAGTATATTATAGATATAGCCATTAAGATCACACTTCACAACTCTGTATTTTGATTTTTGGTTGTGGTTTTCTTAGTGGTCTCCATCTATTGCAAAGAGAAGTTTCTTTGATAAGGAGTAAAGACTGCACTGATCTGTGATTATAAAAACAAATGTTTATAGATTGTTGTTGGGGTTGTAATGATTTAGTAAATAATCTCCAATAACCGTGACTTCACTAGCACTGAGTAGTTAGCTAGGAATTTTAGTGCCAGCTATGGTTTCCCTCTTGTTGAGTCATTCTTCAGTGTAACTAGAGAGCTGTTGGTTACTGGCAAGGTATCCATACCACTATGCATCCTTGGGGTTATTGTGCCATGCTGGTTGTTGATGTGGTTCATAGGCATAGCTGGGTAACTGTCGTAGGATTTTATTACTGTGAAGAGACACCATGACCACAGCAACTCTCATAAAGGAAAACATTTAATGGGAGCTTGTTTACAGTTCAGAGGTTTAGTCCATTGTCATCATGGTGTGAAGCATGGTAGCATGAGAGTTCTACATTCAGATCTGTAGGCAGCAGGAATAGAGAAAAATGGGCCTGGTTTGAGCATCTAAAAACTTCAAAGTCCATTACCCAGTGACATACTTCCTCCAACAAAGCCATACCTAACTCCAAGGCCTCATCTCCTAATAGTGCCACTTCCTGGAGACCAAGCATTCAAATCTATGAGCCATTCTTATTCAAACCACTACAGTAGGGCTGTTAGTGTTTCCCGCCTTTGGAAACTTGGATGACACCTTCTGGTACCGTGAAAGCTAGTCATCAGGGAGGGGGCATCTAGGTCATCTCCAGCTCGCAGATCTCTGCGCTCTAGTCAGCAATCAGGAAATTAAAATGAAATCATTGTCAAGATAGGGGATTGGGGAGCAGTAGAGAAGGGAATGACAGGATATAAGTGATCTTGATCAGGGAAATGGAAAAGGGAGCCTCTTTAAGGAAAGAGAGTTGAAATAAATATAGAAGAAGGTGAGTAAAATAGCAGTAATAATGTCTGAAAAAGCAATAAGGAATCATACTATTTACCTAAAAAACTATAATGCATGTATGTAATTCACCATATAAATACACATATATATTGTTGTTGTTTTGAGACAACATCCCATATTGTAACCCAGTCAAGATGGCCTAGCACTCAGTGTAACCTAGTCTGGCCTTGAACTCATGTCAGTCCTCCTGCCTCAGCCTCGAGTACTGTAATTATATACAGCACTCCTTATTTGGTGTCACTGGTCTTGATATCCATTGTGCATATATTAATTTTGTGGTGAAATTTACAGAACAGCCAACTTTAGAAATTGACAAAAACATGGTTACTGCTCTCCCCAAAGCAAAAACTACTCAGTATATTATAGTTTATATTTTTGTTCATTTTTACATGAAAATGTATAGAACATTAGTAGTTTTGTGAAAATGGCCAAATTTCCTTATAATTAAAAATCTAAGCAGCACACCATTGCATTGTCATTGCTTAAACTGTAATTTGTGTGTCCCAGTACACGTATTGTTAAGGATGATATTGGGTTAAGAATAGATTTTGTAGGCTGGGTAATGGTGGCACATGCATTTCCTTAATCCCTCACTCAGGAGGCAGAGACAGGTGGATCTCTGTGAGTTTGAGGCCAGTCTGGTCTACAGAGTGAGTTCCAGGACAGACAGGGCTAGACAAACAAACTCTGTCTCACAGAATAAAAAAAAAAATAATAGATTTCTCATAGTTGGATCTGTAATAAGAAAGATTCAACTTCAAAGAATGTCAAAAACCATGGTGTGGGGTGGCTACAATAACCATACTTTAAATAATGTCCCATTTTTTTAAATGTCCTCAAATGCTCTGCAGTACATCAGCTGACAGCCCAGGTTTCTGTTTGGAAATCCTTGTAACTGAGCCCTGCAGGTTACCATGTAAGGAGTTGAAGAGGGAAATGTGTCTGGACCACCGCCACCCTCAGGAAACAAGTTCTGGAAAGGCAGTTGGGGACTTTGACTTTGTTTGTGTGAAAGAAAATGCGGTGGAATAGCACTAGAACTACTGCGAGCAGAAAAGCACTTCAGTAACTTTTTTTTTCTTCTTTATTCAGTGCCCTCTCCACGACCAGACAATTCTTTCCATGAAAATAATGTGTCCACCCGAGTTTCTTCTTTGCCATCTGACAGCAGTTCTGGTACCAATCATTCAAAAAGACAACCAGGATTTGATCCATGGTGAGTGTTTTGGTTTGTTCTTACTCTTTTTGTACTAATTGTAGATTTGGGAATTCAAAGACATACAGGATAAACTTTTTTTTTTTTTTTTTTTTCCAAACGTATGGCAACTTTATTGTCAGGGTATGCCGGAGGGGGGAGGGGCAAGGGCTTTGAGTTATGTTTAGTCATGATAGAGGCGCAGAAGGCAGCCACGGAGGGTACTTTTTTTAATGTTCTTCTTCCCACTAGGCCTTTCTTTGTTAATAATAAGGAAAACATGATCTGTTGGGAGAGTTGTAATTTTTTTCAAGTTCAAAATTTCTATTAAATAGCATGTAAAAGAAAAGCCGTAATTATCAGATAGGTCTTTGATCATACTCCTTCTTTTATTGACAGTGAACTTGGTACCGTCAGTTTACATAGCTAGCTCTCTGTGTGCATTGTCTCAGTGGTCATAGTTGCCCTTTCTGAGGTAGGGGCTGTTCCCACTCCATACACACTGAAGCTTGAAAGTTACAGAACATACCTGTTGCTCAACACCTGTAACCTGGATCAGGGACACAGGGTACTAGCACTTCCTGCATAGAATGATGATAATAATTAAGTGATATAAAAATTCATGTGTATAAAAAAGGCACCTAAAACAGTGCCTGACATTGTAAGGGATCATTATGTTAGTAGTTATGGTTATTAGACTTAATGTCATTTAATCTTTCCATGGTTTGTTGGCTGTTTGGCTTCTAACTTTGCTCATAAACATCCATGCCTCTTTGTGAGTGGGTTTTGCTCCCTAGTGTGTAGAAAACATAAGCAAACAGGTATAGCTTTTGTTAGTTTTAAGGTGTGCCTTGGACAAGTGCTGAAAATGGTATCTGAAGTGTCAGAACGCAGATGCACAGAGGGAGCTGGTTTTCCTTGGTTGTTGCATAATAAAGTGGTAGCAATCTAAAGCAGTATCAGTTAGAGACTAGCATAGTCCTTTAAAATTAGTCTAGTCAGATAAAAATTAAATGAAAGTATGGGCTGATGTGGCATGGTGGTATTGGCCTTCTCAGCCTGGGAAGCTGAGACAGGAGGATTGACAGTTTAAAGCTAGCCTGACCTATGTAGTGAGATTCTATCTCAGTGCCCTCCCTCTCCAAAAAACGTGATCCAAAAGTAGGGTAGAACTTGTTAGCAATGCGGTGTTTATCGGTTCTGTGTGTGTATGTTTTAGGGGTTTGATTTGGTTTGGTTGTGGGGACTTGAATGCAGGGCCTAGTGTATGATAACCATGTCTGAATAGAACTTTAGCTGTGTGTGTGTGTGTGTGTGTGTGTGTGTGTGTGTGTGCATATATGTTGCACGAGGAGGGGTTCCTTTGTTTGTCCTGGCTGCCCGACTAGCTTACACCCGAAATAATCACAAAGAAACTGTATTCATTTAAACACTGCCTGACCCATTAGCTCTAACTTCTTCTTGGCTAACTCTTACATATTAGTAACCCATCTCCATTAATGTGTATCACCATGTGACTGTGGCTTACCAGCAAGATTCTAACCAGTGTCCGTCTCAGGCAAGAGAACCATGGCATCTACCACTCTGCCCTTCTTCTCAGCATTCAGCTCTGTCTACTCTGCCTACCTAAGTTCTGTCCTATCAACTAGGCTAAGGCAGTTTCTTTATTCAACCAATGAAAGCAACACATAAACAGAAGGACCGCCTACACCACATATATATGTGTATATATATGTGTGTGTGTGTGTGTGTGTGTGTGTGTGTGTGTGTGTGTGTGTGTGTACAATTGTTTTTGAAAAGAATCAGAAGTACAGTTAGGATGCTCATCTTTAGCTAAGATGTCATCAAGTCATCCTTTCTCTAATATTACTATTTTATGGTTCAGTAAAGTTCCAGAACTCCCAGCTATGAAGTGGCTCTACACTCATCCTGATAATGTTTCTATGGCTTGTCTCCTTCATGCATCACATCTACCATGATCAAATCTTTAATTAAGCTTGACTCATCTTAATTTTTTTCTTAACCAAGATCTCTTTGGTTTGCCATATTCTTTATATCTTAGAGAACTATGCCGTTGATAACACAAACATGAAAGTCTTATTAGAAAAACATGGTAAAATTCTGTTCTTAAATTATCACAGAGAAACATGGTAAAATTCTGTTCTTAAATTATCACATAACCTCAGGCCAGTCTGTTTCCATGATAGTACTGCTTTAAATTTCTTCTGGGAAGAGAATATTTGTACAGTGTACATATGTTCTGCAATGGAAAGATCAAGGTACTATGTCATACTTAAAAGCAATAAATAGATATTGTAGTTTAACACCCAGAGCTGTTATTCTGGTCATCTCAGTTGTCTTGAACCCACTTAAGAAATGGGAGATACGCCAAAATATCTCAGAACAAGAAAAATAGACTTAACACAGCCAGATGCATCATCTTTACTAATAGGATGCCACTTCAGTCCTCACTTGGAAGCTATTTATTCCTCCTTCTGCCCAGTTTTAGCCGCTAGTGCTGAGGTCGTTAGGATGAGATGTGGTCCTAGCTAACAACACAGCATGCAGAAGGGAGAGGGATCACAAGCCATAGCTACGGGGCAAAAGTGGGTGCGTTTTATCATTTCACAGACCTGCAGAATTGCTGTACATCTTAGGTATCCATTTAGAGTACATGCTTATAAAATGAATGTCATTGACTTTACTATAAATAAATAATAAGTATGTGAACAGGTTAGAAAAACTGCCATCAAAATGGGGCTAAAAATTGGTACTTTAACTAAGTTCATTCGAAGTCCTACTAGTGAAGCTCACTTGAATGGCAGGCTCTGTTTTACAGGGTTACGGCTATCTTGTGTCAGTCGGTCTTACAGTTTTTCTCATAGACTCTTTCACTGACTTTCTTGTGTCACACAAGAGCAATGCCTCCCCACTTCCACTCACTCTCCATGCTGCTCCAGAGGGATTATACTAAAGTCCAAAGACCCTACTGTCTCATCCCCTCCGCTCTGCACCCTGAGTCTGGGAGCAGTTTGAGTGAGAGGTCAGCTCCTTGATTTCTGTCTCTGTTACCTAATACAGTGCTCAGTAAATGGTGATGAACTCTAAGCCAGTCTTGGTTTCAATTCCTTCATTACTTGATTACAACGATTCTTTGAACAGCTCTCATTCATCTTGACTCCCTTAATGAGACTAGTTCTTAGGCTCGATGACATACGAGTCACAGTTTTGTGTAAGCCCCTACCTGGCCATCCTTTGGCGTGTGTCCTCCCTCAACTCCATAGCCATACTGTTTTGATCAGAGCTGCTCCCCAAGGGATGAGCTCAGTCACTGAATCTATAATTCTTCTTGAAGCTTCCCTCTCTGAAATTCATGTGACCCCCAAAGCTGCCCACTGTACTGGGTGAAGTTATAGGGGCCACAAATCCAGATAGGGCAATGGTTGCCATACTCTCGACTAGTTGGCGCAGTGCTGCTTGTTCAAGGCTCCTTCCTTTGTGCACACACAGCTTCCCACGTGCCTGTTTTCCATAGCTGCTCTCTCATCCCTGCTCTTCCTCTCTCAGGCTTTTCTCTTTGGGTTTTCTGTGCATGTTTCTGTGTCGTTCTGCACTGTGTTTTCTTTGTGTCTCCCCTTCTGTGCTCAGGCTCCGTTTCTTCTGTCTGTTGTGATGCAAACATACTCAGGCTCCAATCCTACCTTTTTTGTTTTGTTTTGTTTTTCAAGACAAGGTTTCTCTGTAGTCTTGGAGCCTGTCCTGCAACGAGCTCTTGTAGATCATGCTGGCCTTGAACTCATAGAGATCCTCCTGCCTCTACCTCCCGAGTGCTGGGATTAAAGGCGTGTGCCACCACCACCCAGTTCAATCCTAGCTTTTGTCTTGGGTGATTTATTTCCCTTTTTCTTTTGACCCCCTAGAAGCTTTCCCTGCCTAGATTTCAGCCCTACCACCTGCTCTGCTTCAGCTTGAAATAATTAACTCATCATTCCTCCTGCCCCGCCCAGACCGTAGTTTATCCAGTGCCTTAAAGACTCTGGGGAAGGTCTTCTATTCTGTTTCCCAGAACCAACTCTGGGTGCCAAAGTGCAAATTCTGAACTGTTTTCCTGCCCCCTTCCTCTTCTCATCCTCGACTTCTCCAGCTGCTCACTTGCATATTATTCTCTGCTTCCTCCTGGCTAGACTTTTGTCTCCCCAGGCAGAATTCTGCTTCCTCCTAAGAGTGGCATCTCCAGCCTTCTTTTCTGTTAGCACTAAAATTCTGCCCTAATGCCAGTTTGCCCTCCTGAGATTGCATTCATGAAGAGAGTATTTTCCCCAGCCATCCTGCAACTGCATCTATAGAACCTGTAACTTTCCACCATCCCATCCACACCCATGCAACCACATCTAAACCTCCTGCCTTTCAAAATGATAAATGCCCTGTTCTGCGTTCCCAAAGTAGTTAGAGTCTTGCTGGATTAAATCACAGAACTTGTGCTTCAGAACTTGGAATTTATTAGGTGGCGCTTACAGTCGCAAGTTCTAGTGGATTTCAAGAACACCTGGGGTGCTGCTGGGTGCCCGGACTCCAGGTGTGTGCCATCATGTCTGGTTTTTGTGATTCTGGGGTCAAACGCAGGGCTTTGTGCATGCTAGGTGCACATTCCACCAACTGAGCAATGTCAGCACCAATTGAGCTATGTTCCCAACCCTAAAATAGTCTGTGCTGTGTAACACTTTGTTGAGGACCTATAGTATGTATTTGTTCTCAGAAATTAAAAAGACGTTCAATAATTTTATTACATAGATAGAGCTTTTTAAGGATGGGGGGGTCTTTTTTTGAGAAGGGGGAACCTCGCTTTGTTACCCACTGTTCTCAAGCACATGCGCTAAGGTAATCCTCCCACCTTAGTCATAATTAGGAATACAGCGTATGCCATGAGGCCGAGCCTATTTTTGTTCCCCAGCGCTTGCAATGGAACCCAGGGCTCTGTGAATGTAGTATATGCGCTGTTCCACTGAGCCACAGCTCCAGCCAAGATTGCTATCATAATTTCTCCCTGCTTTTTCAAAAGTGCACTTAGGGATTGGAGGGATGGCTCAGGAGTTAAGAGCACTCATTGTTCCTGTAAAGGATCCAGGTTTATTTCAAATGGTGTCTCACAACCATCCACAACCCCAGTTCCAGGAAACCTTATACCCTCTTCTCACCTCCGTGGGCTCCAGGCACAGAAATAATACGCATACATACACACAGAATAAACACTCAAGCACGTAAAATAAATACATCTTTAAAAATTAAATAAATAATATTGAAAGTGTGCGTGAATAGCTTATATTGTAATGTAGTTGGACTTATCTGATGTAGAAAGCTTGAAATCATTATATTTTTGCTTAATGTTGTAGTTTAAATATTCTTTCATGTCAGTGAATATTCTTTGAAGATGTGATTTATTTTTAATAGCTTCATTGTGCTTTCTGCCATGCAACCAGTAATGGTTAATTTAGAAGTTTTCTGGCTTACATATTTTAATAAAATAAGCTGGATGCTGCTTTGCTCATATTCTCTTAGACATTAGAATCACTTCATCACTGTTAGGTACTCTGAAACCATGAATAGAAATTAACTGTCACTTTTAAGAATTCTCCCACTCTTAGGGAATATGTAAATATGCGAGATTTTGTAAAAGAATAATACCAGTCGAGTTGCTTTTTAAAGAGCATAAGCCAAATGTCAGGATGTTCTCTGCGCCCGCCCCCCCCCCCCCAAGCCACTGCCCCTCTTTTTCTCCTTTTTCTTTTTTCTCCCCTTTCAGGATTTTTTTTTTTTTTTGAAAAGTGAGTTTTTGTTCCAGGGTCAGTCTTGGCAGATAGCCTGGCTGGCCTTTAGCTCACTCTCTCTGAGTCAGTCTCCTGAGTGCTGGGGTTACAGGCATACACCTGCCTTCTTTCCTATTTTGAGTATCTTCTATTTTTATTAGAATACCTAGGTGTTATTGGTGGTATCAATCTTAACATCAACATTTTCAGGTAGAAGGGCTCCCCACCTTTGATATACTGTGTTAGAGCATTCATTGTGCCTACATTTTTTTCCCTTGAGTACTTTTTTTTATTTAGGTGTAATAGATTAAAGGTTTAATAAATAAATAGGAATTTTCCAGTTCAGAGCAAATTTTACTTCTGTTTATAATGTTTCTATAGCAGCATTGATTTTTTTTATGTTTAGTAACTTGGCAAGCTACTAATAATAAACTTGTTGAGCTTGTTTTTGAAAGGTAAATAGAAAATTGAAGGTATTGGAAATGTTTCTGTTCTTTCCCTTGGAGGGTTACAGAGAAGGCATCCTCTAAGCCGTGCATTTCCAGACTCTCTAATTCAGAGACTTCCAGCAGCAGGAAAATGGTCCCACGGTGCAGTTCCAGATCATTTGTAATAGCACTCAAATTGCTAGTGTGATCAAGCCTGTGCCAAAGAACAGCCTTTCCCCGTGCTATTAGATTCAGTTCCTCCTGTGCATTTTAAAGGACCTTTACCTGTGGGCTCCATTTTTCATGGCTGATTGAATCTGGTATCACACATTTTCAGCCGTTATTATGTTTGTCACACATTGGCAAGAGAATGTGATTTAGAGATCTATATGATAAAAATGTCTTCTCATTTAGGAAAAGCCCTGAAAATATTAGTCATTCTGACCAGCTCAAAGAAAAGGAGAAGCAAGGTTTTTTCAGGTCAATGAAAAAGAAAAAGAAGAAATCTCAAACAGTAAGTACATGACTATTTTCCATATATGACATGGATTTCTGTATTTTTTCTGTGGAGATATTGTACCCTCTACATGGAACAATCCGACTTCATTTCTGAATGTGACTGTGTTATAGATACCTCTTTCGGAAGTCCTACACTACTGTCATGGAACAATCCGACTTCATTTCTGAATGTGACTGTGTTATAGATACCTCTTTCGGAAGTCTTACATTACTGTCCTCTCCTAAAGCCTTTTCTAGATTCGGCAGAATCTCCAGGAGTAGAAAAAACTTAATTGGGATGAGAAAATGCTTTCAAAATTATGGAGACATGGGATTTGTTTTTCTCTGGGAGCATAAAGATTTGTAAAAACCTAGGAAATGATTTTGAGTTTACATTGAAATTGTGAAATTCACAAATAGCCATCATCCCTTATCCTTTCCCAGATTGTGGACTATCTGGTCATAGAGATGCAATTTCAGGGCTTGCTTTAGTAAGAGAAGGTGTTTCACTTCTGAGGGCCCTGGGAGACAGGCTGCACCTGAGATCCCGATGAGCGTCTGAACAATGGGCCAGCTGTACTGCCCTGTACTCCTCAGTGTTTGGGAGCACATGAGTGACATTTCTAAGATAGCTAGTGACAAGAGAAAGTGGGGGAGGAGGAAACAAGCCTCCAGGAGAACAGTAGGAGCAGTTCACTCAAAAGAAGCCTGCTTCTCTTCATTTTATGATACCCTCACAACCAAGTGACATTGAGTTAGCCATGTTCAATGATTTGGATTTGGGTCTTAGCTTTACTTCACACAAGATTTACTCTCATTCTGTTAAAGAAGAAAATTGCCTAATCAGAATGGCCTGTTCACATATGCTTCATTGACTTTTGCCTATGAGTAAACTAAATGCTTCTGAGTCCCTTCAAGCCATCATCAAAATGAGAAGTGATAGCTTAGTGCTAACTAACAATGTCTTCTTTACTTAATAGTAGAAAAGTATGTAACTCATACTAAGGATATTTGTCTCAGAGATGTTTGAAAGATGTTAAAAGTGGCTTTTTGTTTGAGACCTTTCTGAGCTGCCAAATGGGTTCTAGGACTCAAACCTAGGTCCTCTGGAAGAGCAGCCAAGACCTCTTAAAAGCCAAGCCATCTGTCCATCCTAAATATTTTTAGGGCCCCTTAAAATCTAGACCTTTGTAAAGCATTCTTTCACTTGCTTATTAAATGTCAGTATTTTATTTGAAATAAATGACTTTAAGCCAGGAGCAGGCTTGGGGCATGGTATTGCAAACCTTTAATCCTATCGCTCAGGAGGCATAAGCAAGCAGATCTCTTGAGAGTTTGTGACCAGCCTGGTCTGCATAATGAGTTTCAGGGTAGCCAGAGCTGCATAGTAAAACCGTTCAAACTGCCACCACCAACAGCAACAAAAGATTTCATTATGGAAAAAAAAAATGTGAAAAAAGAAAAATCATTCTTAATCTTGCCCAAATCTACCATAAATAATAAGAGGATTTTAGTATTTTCCTATAGCTTTTTAGCCTGTGCATACAATTTTAGTATGTATGTGTATGTATGTGTGTTACCTCTTTGTTTTAATGGTTACATGGTATTTTTAAAATGTTCATGGGGGTGGAAAAGGGTACCTGTGTCTCTTACTGAAACTTGCCTAGATTGAAATGTCAAATTAAAATGTCACTCAACTGCATTTGTTGCTGAAACTGGATGAAGAAATGAATAAATAGACTTGACTTTGCTTCGGGATGCTTAAAATGTTTTAACTGCTAAAAATTTAAACTCTGTACATTGTCTATAGAACATGTTTTCTATCCGAAGTATTACCCTAAGACACTTTCTTCCTGGCCACTGGTATAAATTTTGTGGGTTTTGTCAACTATATGCCTATAGTCCGGTTATGTGATTAAGTTGCAGAAAATAATGAGAGAAGAATTGAGGCCGTCTTGTATATAAATTTAGATTTTAATGCTTGTCTGCCTTAGACCAACATTAAACCTAAAGCCCTTGCCCTACTGTGGCTAAGCATAGTATATACATCTTGCCTAACTTGACTATTCAATATTGGTTCAATTTTAAATATTTAAATAGTTAGATAAGCTAGAATAATAGAAAAATTAGTATTCTCTTGCATCCTCTCCACTTAAACTTTTTATTAAATATTTATACTAACTGCAGAATAGCTTTCCACAGATCATAATGCCTTAAGTTTTCCAAACAAAAAGATTTTTATATTTCTCCATTTTAATTAAGAAAAAAAATGTAAGGGCTTTGGGTTCTAGAGTCAGATTTTCAAAGAGCAGTACACACAGAGTGCCAGACCTCAGGCACCGAGGCCTGGCATTGAATTCTCTCTGCTTCCTTTGAATGAACATTCAAATGTAACTAAAAGGAACTTGTTCTTAGTTTCTAAAGTTTAGTAAAAAGAAACCTAAGTAGAGCAAACCAAAATATTGAAGGCATTGAAGCTTTTGCATAAGATTCTAAGAAATTGAAATCTGATGCCAGACGAACATGGTATCCTATGTTCATCCTAAATTTAGGTGTAGCCTACATCTAGTTTACTAGTGTAGGCGCTGAGCCAGGCAAGTGGTGACCTGTCCAAAGTCACACAGTGAGTTGTAAAGACTAAAACTTGGTTCCCCTGTGAACGGCCTCTGAGAGCTCGCTGCTGGCCTTCTTAGCAGTCCAAGTTAACTCCTAGGCAGGGTTTCTGTTATTAAAGCCGGAAAACTCAGATATTTACACAAATGCCTTCATACACACACCAATGAAAAGACAACCCTACTGCATCTCTATATATTTTTGTTCTCTGACCATCAAGGCATCAAAAAGAGAGAAAAGAGGTGCCAAAAATAATTCTGTGTTGTAAAGGTGCCTCCTTTGACTCAAGCAAGTCTGGAAACTGCCTTGGGGAATCTGGCTTCGGATGTATAGCCATATATCCAGGGAGTTACATAAACTGTCAGAGCATATGGTGCCTTGGCCAACTTGGTAATTTGTATCTTCTTTAGTATCTCAATTTGAAATGATACGTCAATTTAAAGATTGAACTTTTAAAGGAATTTTGTGTGCGCGCATGATATGGGGGAGGAAGATGCAGAGGAGCCACAGTATATAGAGGTCAGAAGACAATTTTGTAGAGTTGGCTCTCTCCTTTGACCTTTTTGTGGGTTCTGGGAATCAAACTCAGGTTGCCAAGTGCCCCACTAATCCTCCTTACCAGCCCTGAAGATTAAACTGTTGTTACTTTCTTGAAAACCAGAATTCAGAATTGTGCCAGATGTTTTAAATGAGGTGTATATTTCTAACAGTGTAGAAATAGGGCTACTCAATTAACCTTAGTATCCCACACAGTGGCAATCCTCTTCCAAATGATATTTAGTCAAGATAATTGACTAAGAAATTCAAAGTGACTTAAAATATATATTCTTTTGTAATAAACAAGCCATATGGTAGAATCTTTTAGTTCCTGAAGTCCTAACAATTAGGAAATGACTGAAGTTCATCAGTAATTCATTACACACAATTCTTCATAATAATTTGTGATAATAAATACATTCTTAAGTAAACATAATGTAAGCAGATGCCTAAAGGTCTCTAGGCATTCCTGGGCCAAGGCCTAGTAGTTTCAATTAAAGCACCTATTTATTTTACCTATTTTTTTCTTTTTGCAATTAGCTCATTTGTATCTTATATTACAGACAGACTCCACCAACGGGGAGAATCCAAGCATCAAGAAATCCCTCTTTCCTCTTTTTAATTCAAAGAATCATTTAAAGCATAGTTCTTCTTTGAAAAAGCTTCCTGTAGTCACTCCACCCATGGTACCCGTTTTTACGTATCGTAGCCCTGAAACTCCTCCAGTAAACTTGTTTTACTGACAACAACAGCATGTCTTCTTTTCATGGGGTCATATTCTCTTTGTGCTAGTTAAGTGCCTGAGCCAGTTCCATAAATTCACTGGGATATATGGATGTATATAATACATATATTCTATATGTATATATTATATCTATATCTAGTCTGGGTTTTCTGCATCCATTAAAGATGTTGAAGCATTAAGCCTACTAAACAAACTAGTAAGGCTGGTTTGGATGCCCTGATTAGCCAGTTGTTAGCAGACAGCATTCATGGAAGTCCTTTAATTCCTGTAAAGAATCTGATTAACACTTACAGTCACCAAATGTCTTTGCCCTTGGCTCACCACATGGACTTTGTTACCATTTGGTTGGCAGTTTGTCTCTTTGAAACCAAGTCTGAACTGACCAAATTGATTGAGCTAGCAGGCTCCATGAAAAAAGCAGCTTGTACTAGTTGATAACTCGCTCTTTCCTTACCTGCCTCTAGCTTTTGCTGGTCACTAGGTGTAGAGCCATGGCTTTTGCTTGGCATTTGGCACAGCTCTCCTTTGTCCATCAAAGTCATTGAATAGAACAATTGCGCTCATTTGAAATTTGTGGCATAAATTTCTAGCAGTTCCTAAGTGTCCAAGGCCAGACCCAGATTTACTGGGCAGTTTGGGACTATGATTCAAACCATACCTCCCCACTTCTCTCCCCTCGCAAGCCCCCCTAGACTTCTTTGGCAACATCAAATACAGAGTTTGCATCATATTCCCAGCATGAAATTTTTTTATTGAACTGGTTCATAACCTAACTGCAGTATGGGATGAGGATCCAACAGCAGTTCCTGGTCCAGTCCACTATAACTGCTCTCTCTTACAGCTACTGAAACTAACAGCATGGGAATGCTTTAAGGGTTAAGGTTTTAACCAGGCTGCATGACATCTGCCAATTTTTCCTAATGCAGGGAAAATTATTAAGAAGGCAGCAGGATTTAACTAGCACCACTTGCATCATGAACATTTGGAGAGTTTTGGTTTACTTACTGGGTCCTTTTGGTTTTTTTTTTTTCTCCCTCTTTTGAATTTTGGTTCAGTTTAATTTACTTTTCAGTTTGGGTCACCTCTTGGGTGTGGTTGTATATCTTAATTAGGGTTATTGGGATGCTTGCTGCATCTTTCTCCATCTTTCCCTCTAGGTACCCAACACTGATGGTCCCGATCTTCTGACTCTCCAGAAAGCCATTCATTCTTCTAGCACTGCAAGCAGCAGACCAAAGGAGTGGCGCCCTGAGAAGCTGGCAGATCTGCAGACCCAGGTGAGTCTGGCTCACCAATTTTCAGGCGACAGTGTGTCCTGGGATGGAAGAGCAATGAAGAAAAAAATTGAGCCTCCCCCAAATAGACCCTAACGAGTAACCTTAATGGTTTCTGGAGGTCAGGATGAATCCTGCCATTGATTCTTTCCTCCACTGGAACAGAGCTAGCCTGTCTTTCATCTAACATGGAGAGCAGTGGGGCAATGTGGAGAGATGAAAAAGAATTAGTTCTTGCCCACATTCAGGCCACATCTCGGGAGAGAAAGATTCATAAAGATCTTAGTAGAAAGTACGGCATGCCATGAACTATTGAGGAAGATAAACCAAGGTTCTGAGAGGATTAAGGTTACCTTAAAGATGCTAGCATGTAAATTGGGCCATGAAAACCAGGCACTAGAAGCTTTCTTAAAAGAACATTTTAACTTCTGAACTCCAAACTGGTTTTTATAAAGAGTCAAATTCTTATATTAGGAATTACATATTATACAGTAACACGGGGTTATAGTTCCCTGCCATAATGGAGAACTTGAAATTTTTTTTGTCAGGTTAAACATTTACGCTAATTGGAAATGTTTCAGTATTGGATCTCTTCAATTCACTATAATAGACATAGTGACCAAGTCTAGCATGTTTAGTTAACCAAATTGTTTGGGATTTAGAAGCAATGGCTCTTTTTATAGGCTTTGTGTTTTATTCTTTTGTTCTTAGGAAAACATTTTACCAGTTAAATGCAATTTGGCCTGCATTTTTCTGTGTCTCCCAAACTGTCCTGGAACTAACAAAACCTGGCTTTATGTCTTACCTACAAGATTATAGATCTGACTTGTTTCACTATAATCTGTTACTCGGAGCTATAAACAAGAGTTCCCTAAAACTGCCATTCTCTTTGCCTGGCCATATATATTCTGTACCTAGAGCATAACCTATTCTGGGAGGTAAGGGAGCATAGAGAATCAAATTTCCTAATTTTTTGATTATTCAAACTAGGAACACAAAGATCTGAGGGCGTGATGCTAAGGAGCCCTTTGCTGGTAACTTCACATCTCCAGCTGATGCTGAATTATTATGATTGCTTGCTAATTTTATAAAATTCACTAGGAAAGACTCGTTTAATCATTTTAATAAGAAAAAGTAGTCAGAATGGTGCCACCCAGTAGTCTCATCACTTGGGAGTTGGAAATAGGAGTGTGAACAGTTTGAGAGTATCCTGGGCTATGTACTATAGTGTGGTGTTTACTCTTTGGGCTTTTTGGAGGATCCACCACCCAGCTCCCAAATCAATCAATCACACACAGAGGCTTATTCTGCATTATGAATGCCTGGCCTTAGCTTGCCTTGTTTCCTGCCAGCTTTTCTTAACTTATCCCACCTATCTTTGGCTTCAGAGCTTTGATCTTTCTCTATTCCTGTCTACCTTTTCTTTCCCTCTTACTCCTTGTCTGGCTGTGTAGCCGGGTGGCTTGGTGACCGACTGACCCCTGAAGTGCTCCTCCTTCTCTCTTGTTCCCAGATCCCTTTTCTCCAGATCTCTCCTCAGATTTATCCTCTCCACCTGCCAGCCCCACCTGTTTCTCTCTCGTGCCTCACTATTGGCCGTTCAGCTCTTTATTAGACCATCAGGTGTTTTAGACAGGCACAGAGTTAAACTTCACAGAGTTAAACAAATGCAACATAAACAAAAGTGACACACCTCAAAATAACATTTCCCTACAATGTACAGAGATCTAGGCCAGCCTGGGATACATAAAGGCTAGGAGCAGAGAGGATCAAGAGTTGGAGCCTCTGGCCAGCAGCCCTTCTGCACACAGGAAGTCCACTAAGCAGTCCTTCTGTGAGCAACTGAGATAAATGCTTTGTATTTTTAGTGCCCAAACTGTGGTCATTCCCACCTCAAAGATATGTAAATGAAAAAGTAAAAGTACAGTAGATTTACTGCATGAAGATTTAGTATCAAAAGAAAGCGAACATTATACAAATAAGAAGTGCTATACAGTTTTTAACTTGCTTCATTGCTACCTAAAGCAATACATTTTCCCAGATTCTCTTTGCAGCTAAATATGGTTACATGCCCAAGTTCTACTGAGTTGTAGTAATTACTTTTCCCATTGCTGTGACAAAATACCTTCCCAGGTTGAAGGTACAGTCCATCACAGTGGGGAAGGCATGGCAGCAGGTCACATTGTATCCACAGACAGGAAAAAATCATGAGTACCAGTGTCTTCTTTCTCCTTTTACTCAGTCCAGGACACCTGTCAGTGGGATAGTGCTGCCCACATTCAGGGTGGACCTTCCCACCTCAATTCAATCTCTTTGGAAGCAGCCTCACAAACACACCCAGAGGTGGATTTCCACAGGGATTCTAAATCCATTTAGTTGACAATTAAGATTGATCCTAAAACTGGTGAGATATAAATGGAAGACTTATTTGGGAAGTCTTCTGAAAAAGGAGAGAGGCACGCCTCTATCTCTTGTTGCTTCTTCTATCTGGGTAAGGACAGGATGTAGCCAGATCAAAGGAGCCCTGACTTTCAGGCGCTACCTTTGAGTAGCTCTAGTTATTTTCTCTAGATTTCTAGGCCTTCATGTAAAGACAGTGACTAAAATCTTGTTTCAGGGAACCCAGAGACCAGATAAAGCTGGATTCGCCCCTCCAACTATATCTTCTCCCTTCCTTCCTCTGTTTAGTTATCTTGCACCTGAACTCCACGTCCTCCCAGCTCCCTTGTCTACTCCAAATTAAATCTTGTGCTCACCTTAATCTTTCTTTCAGAGCCAACCACTCAAATCCCTTCGCAAGCTGTTGCATCTCTCGTCATCAACCAATCACCCGGCTTCTTCAGATCCTCGTTTCCAGCCCTTAACAGCTCAACAAACCAAAAATTCCTTCTCAGAAATTCGGATTCACCCCCTGAGCCAGGCCTCTGGTGGGAGCAGCAACATCCGGCAGGAGCCTACACCAAAGGGCAGGCCAGCCCTTCAGCTGCCAGGTCAGATGGATCCTGGATGGCACGTGTCCTCTGTGACCAGGAGTGCCACAGAGGGACCTTCCTATTCTGAACAACTGGGTGCCAAGGGTGGGCCAAACGGGCACCCTTATAACAGAACAAATCGCTCACGAATGCCAAATCTGAATGATTTAAAAGAGACAGCCTTGTAATTTATGCTGGGATGGGGGGTGGGGGGGGAGACATGCCAGTTGGGAGGGGAGGGTGCAGGGTGGGCCAGGGTAGTAAGCCAGTATTTTCAGCTTTATGAAGGTGTGTGCAATATTGTGTGTGAGGGGGGCCATCTGGCTCCTCTCAGCCACAAATGCTAGTCAGGGATCTTAGAGCCACGGGAGTTCCTTAGGGATCGCCACTCCCCACAGGTCTTGTGTGAGAATGGATAGAGTGTGCCATTGAGGAAGAAGAAATTCTTGCCAGTTTCTCCCCGTTACATTCCAGCTTTAGTGCAATCTCTGTTGAACTTGGGGAAGCCAGGGTATGTCCTGGCTGTTTGAGGGATAGAAAATTCATGTTGACCAATGCCCTTACCACATATTTTTTTCTGACTAGACTAAATGTGGAGTTTATTGTAATCTAGGAGTATCCCTTTGAAGGGTTAGCAGATGAACTGTATGTCTTAAATTGTTTTCTAAGCTTCCATATTTGATAGGATTTGTAACATTTATTTATAATTAATATTGTACTGTTGTAATCATACCTTTTATGTTATAATGTAAAGTTATTTTGAGCTGTTTGGAACATTGTGAAGCACTGGGACAGCTACAGTAGTTTCTATAAAAACTAAACAGTAACATTTATATATTGCATCAGGAGTATTTTATTCTATATATAAATATATATGGTAAATAACTGTCCGTTTTATAAATATATTCATTTAAAAAAGTATCATTATGACACTATCTGCCATATTTTTATACATTTGTGATATGAAGTGAGCGTTATACTTATAATAAAGGGAGTTGAATTGTGGCTACATGTGACTGTAACAGAATGAGCTTTGCTCAACTTTTTGGCCCCAGCAGTAGCCTCTAGACATGATCCTTGGTAGCAGACGAATGCAGCATCTCTCTGTAGACCCACAGGAGAAGAACGTTGGATAAGCCAGCAAGGATCCCAGCAAGCTTCACTTCTGTGCTTAGACTCGTGGCTCTCATTTGTCTCCAGGGACATTAACTTGCACACGAGAGGATAGGCAGAAGTGGTGTTCATGGGTCTTTGCGGAGAACGCGCTCTTCCACTTAGCGTTAGTGTTAGAGTGTAGACCAAAGATTTGCCAGTGAACATTCCTTGTTGTGAGGTTGTAAGAGGCAGCTGTCTGCGGATCGGATCTTGCAAACCAGCTCTATGCTCCTGAATGCTGTCCGCCCTCCTGGAGATTGTTGCCTCCAGGTGGGATATGAGCTACGTGTATGGCATTTCTTCTTCTAAATGCTTTGTTGTTGTTGTTGTTGTTGTTGTTGCTCTTCTAATATATTTAAAAGGCTCCTGAAGCAATTCCAGATGTAGAGAAAATTACTACATTCTTTTTTTCCTTCCTGGGACTGTTTATAACAAGGTCATCATGTAACCTGTATATACATACACCCCATCCATCAGAACAGAACTTATCCTTCCCTCATTTGATCTCCTTCAACTCCCGAGTTAGTATAAAGTATCATCAAGGCCTGGGGCCAGCGTTATACCCACCTGTCTCTGGACCATCTTTGACAGAAATCAACACCTCAACACCATCATCTACCAATAGTCATAGAGTTTTGAAAGTAGTCTCTTAGCAATAAGACTTTTAGAGATCATTCCCATCCCTCAAAGAGGTAACTTTTCAGTATTTACTACTTGTTCCAGAATTCTGAGAGTGTCAGTCCCCAAATAAAGTCAGCTGTCACTGAAATATGCTGAGTTACTGTTAACCCTTCCCTGAGATTCTGAGAATCATAGCACTAAAGATTATGACAATTATAAAGGTCTTAGATTCTTTGGAGCTTAAATTGTGTGCATATTTCATACTTATATAAATACTATAATGTGTATTGATTATATAAAGAGGTCATTTTAAGGTGCTTCTACTTAATTTTGATAAGTATAATAGGCACTGAAATGAAACTCAACTGGGTACTATCATAGAAACAATTTGATTCAATTTGCATGCTCTTTAGTTCTTTTCCTATCTCGTTTCTGTTGCCAGTTCAGTACTGTCTGGGTAGCTCTGTGGCTTTTCCCAGGCAACTCTTTGGTTATCCAAGTGAGGCAGACCCTCAGCAGTTTTTGCCTGGATATAGTAACACTAAAGAGGTGTATATTTAACTCTTCTTTTTCATACTAAATCCCTAGTACCTTGTACACCCCCCTTCCTCCTGCAAAACAGAAACTACATTTTGTTTCCTCTGGAAAGACTTCTCACTGTGCTGTGTGCTTAGGAACGGTGAGGTCCCATTGCCATGCTGTGGCATTAGTGGCTCGTCATCACCAAGGGGCTGGTTTCCCATGTTGTCATCTTTACTAACACTGGGATCTCAAATGTTTGTAGAACATTTATATTCATGATGGTTCTTCAAAGAAGGGCTAGAATAATTGCCTTCTACCTAGAGCAAACTAATCCTAACTGATGAAGTCAATACTTACTTTTCCTACATTCCCAGATTTGAGCCAGAAAATAGCTACGTTTTCAGCTAGTGTTTCTGAGCTAACTCTTTTATCCTCTTCTTAGCTCTTGTCTATTCTGATTTTTCCTTGACCCTCAAGAAGCTGTAAGTGAATCTACAATCCCATTCATTCTCTTCCTGCTCCCAGATGGGGGTGGTAACATTTCCTCTTGGATCTAATAGGCCCTCTCTTAGCTTTTAACTGTCACTTCCCCCTCTGGTAGGTCGTTCATTGACCTCAAAAAGATACCATTTGTGGCAGGAAGGAGTTGACTGAAAGTCACAAACCCCCACATTTTCTTTAGAAGGGGGAATTGATGACATCCATGTTCTCTTCTCTCTGCCCTGACATCCTAAAGGACACAAAGGTTGAACTGGAGGCTTATGGAGTACTTTGTGTTGGGAAATTACTGCTGATCTCCATTTGAAAAGAACCTTGGCTCCACTGGTTTTCTCTTCTCCCTTCTCTATCACCCTCTTTTTCTTCTCTGAAGCTCTAAGTAAACTTTAACTGATCTTTGTTTGGTCTTGACCGAAGTTTAGGACTCTCCAGAGCCCCAGACCAGAAGGGAGTGCCCCATGCCAAGAGGCTCAAGTGAGCTGCCTCTCCAGCAGCCCTTCTCAGCCAAGGGCACTTTTGTCCCCCAGGGCACAATTGACAATGTCTGGAGGCATTTGGTTGTCTTGGGCTGCTACCAACATCTAGTGAGTAGAGGCCTAGGACATTGCTAGACATCCTTGAGGGTGTTCCAGCCCATAACTAGTGCCAACGTTTAGAAGTCCTGCCTGAGACCACTCCAGGCCAACCACTCCGCAGAACTTGCCTCTGGCCCTGGGTTTTCCAGGCTACTTAACTGCAGGAGTGAACTCCTCAGCATTGTATTCTCTTTAAGAATCCTCTACCACTGTTCTCAAATCCTTGCAATCCTATTGTTTGTTTCCATTGTCTTGGACCTGATAAAAGGTGCATACTTTGGGAGGAAACCAGAGTTACTTTATATACGTTTGAGAACTTAAATTCTAGGTTAGCAGCCTTAGGAAATCTTTCTTAGCCATGAGGCTTATATTTAGAAGCAAGCAACAGCCTGGCAGATTGGCATGATTTTTACCAACTGCTCAAAGGCATCATGGCTTTCAGCTGTGTCTGCCGAAAGAAAATGTCTTTGTTATTTATTCAAGTCATTTAATAGATCTTTACAAATATTAGCATATGGCAGACTGATTAGAAGCAAAACTCTTTATTGGTGGTTGTGATGTGACTATTCTAGAAGTATTGTGCTGTATGCTTTGGTTAAATCTGTTTTTAAAACATGCTTTTAAGACTCACCATATGCAGTTGTATAATTTAATTCTAAGCAGACCTATGCTGGTCAGTCTCTAGTCATGCTGTGTATTATAAAAGTATGTTGTGGTTGTAGACTTAGCCAGTTTAGCATGTTCCTAATCAGAAAATTAGTGGACTCCACTAGGAAATGCTATCCCATTTTCCCTTCCCAGTACCTCTTAGTTGATATCATAGTATCCTCACTTAAACTAGTCTTTAGAGTAAATAAGGAAAAAAGCCATTTATTTTCTTCTAGCCATGTATCGAGAATAACTCATATGTGTATAATTTTTTCAAAGGCCAGAGGATTACTTTTCCAGTGTGTAGAAGGCTTTGTCCATTCTGTTCACCTAGGTCTTGGTGGTGACAGAACTTTTGGCAAGGACAACAAATAACTCATTAGAAGTCACTAGTGGGACTCAGCAAAACTGCATCTCTTTTATGCTCAGAAACCTATGTTCTGAGCACCATTGCTTTTGCATCTAGAAGTTCATTACCTACTGCATTAGAGTGGGCTACTGAACTCCCCTATATGGGTAAGAAGATCCATAGATGCCTGTTTCTGTGAACTGGGGCAATGATATGGTTAACTAATCCAAGTCAGAAAGCAGTAGGGTATTTCCTTGCCTTCTTCAGTTCATCACTAATAAAAGTTCATTGCAGTTCATTTATGGTTTGAGAAATAACGGTTCTGATTTCTTTAAAAGGGACTGCAGAAAAGACAGTACAAATGTCACTAATCCCTGGGACCAGAGTCTTAGGAGAAGGTCCCTACCAAATTATAAAAGGGCAGATTACCAGAAAATAAAAATCAAACAAACGAAAAATCCAAACTTGTAAGTGGTTGTGGTTTCCCCTTTTGCTTCTTGAACAGCTGAAATCTAGACTATCTTGAGGTCTGGTTCAACTGATTAAAAAAAATCTTGGAAACCATGAATGAGGAGCCATGCAAGAAAATGAAGCCCCTTATCCGTTTGTATACACCTGAAGGGAAAAGCCAGGTGGCTAGGAAACTCTGGGCCTATTGCCCATGCAATTTTTTTTAATTGAATGTACTATACAAGATGGTAGACTTTGTGCAAACCAGTTGCTTACATAAATCATCGTTGCCCACAGTGCTTCGTTAATTCATCAGCATTTGGTCTGGTCCCTACTCCACCTTTCTCCTCTCTGGGCATGACCCACCTTTCTTTC